GTGTGACAGGTAATCATTTGACGTCCTTGACTCGTCACCTCCGCATGAGTAGGAGTGCAAGGAGGACTCGTCGGCTCGATTGCAGTGCAACTGCAGTGGCCGACTCACTTGCAAGAGCACCTAATGATCGTCAACCTGCTTTACAGGTAAGCCTGGTTTCATGTAAAAAATATTTTTTATTATTCAACTTTTTCAGAATATTAATAACAGATTCTATAAATTGTAAGTATTTTCATCTTATATTTAATATTTTATCTTTTAAAATTATAAATTCAATAAAAAAATTATAACTGCCAATGTCAAACTCAACACTAATAAAAAAAAAAATTGTGAGAAGTTTTTGGAATACTCACAAAAATTTCTATTGTATGTAGCTTCCTCTTCTAATTCCTTAAAAGTATTAATGTAAGGTAAGAATCAACATACAATACAAGATGAGAAAACTATCTTTGCAAGTAAGAAGGCAACAAAATACTTAAAAAAATAAATAAATAAATAAATAAGTTCTTTATCCCTACTCCAACAATGAAATTAATCAAATAAGCCCCCCCTAAAATTTGTTATTTACAACTACATTAGAATCTTGATGGAAGTAAACACAAGTGAAGAAGATATTATATGACAAATATGTAGTTGACATACAGAAGGAATCCAAAACTTTTTTTTTTAACGATAGTTAGAGGTTTAAATGTAAGCACCAAGGAGGAAACAGCTTCGCTCAACCAACGAGCTGCACGTGCGAGCTCTCAAAACAACTCAAGCCACGTAGATAAATATATATCAGTACAGAGATCATTACAAGAAAAATCATTTGTTCACACAATTTTTTTTTCATTTTTAACTCATTATTATTATTTCATCTCTCTATCTCTCTCTTCAAACATAGCATAATTTCTCCACCTCATATACTCATTAGGGCATCTCCAACTGAACTCCATACGCTTGCATGGCGTTCCTGGCCAGCTCCAGTTGAACCTCAAAATTTCCGCTGTTTGGCTGCGGTTGAACAGTTGGACGCCAATATTGGCATTGCACTGTTCATCTCCCCACTTTTACCTCTCTACCGAACTTGCCGCGGGAAAAAAGAGGCGACCGTTACCTGGAAAAGGGTGAAAAATGGAGTTCGATTGGAGATGAATCACGGCATTTTACAGTTTCACGACATTTAGGAGTGAAAATGAGATTTTTCGTTGGAGATGCTCTTAGTAGTTATCTCCTATGTTGGATTACCTCATTAGTCACTAACTTCTGTTGCAACTATCATTTTCCTCTTAAGAAAGTCTTCGGGTTTCAAATATCACATCAAACACTTTTGTAACTGCGTATATATAATTACTAAATTGAAGACTTCTCAAATCTCCTATCTATTGAATGAAAGAGAAGAATCATGAATTCAATAGCCAAAAATCTTTAAAAAATCAAAATTAAATCTTACCGGAAGACTTTAAGACCCAAATAATAGAGAAAATGTAGACTTTACACCTAACAAACTAGCCATTATTTTATTGGTTTAGGTAATTAATTACTAAACAACCTCATAGATTAATTCTATTAATACATTGTATTGTAAACATATTGTTTGCATTAATTGCATTTGTTAATTCCAAATAGTTGAGATCCTAACTCATTATTGCAAATGATTCAAGCTACTATCAATTGAATTTTTTAATACTTTATATTCTATACATATACATAAGAATAATGCATCAATTATGAAAAAAATAAGGATTAGTGATTATGAAATGTACGGTCGTAGATAGAACATTCCTGCGGGTTTGGAATTTCTGACAGTAAACTCGTTTTGTTCCGGTGAGCTTAATCGCCGCTTGTACCGGCGGTTAGATTGTCGGTATAACCGTTGGTAATTTCAACTGTTAGACTGCTGGTAATTCCGGCGGTCAAATGATCGCAGAAAAATTGCCGGTATTTAGTGCTTTTAATGCCTCAAATAATTTGAATAAAGTTAATGATGATTATGAGTTATGACAATGATAATTATGTACTTTATTAATTAATTTGTTGTGCAATGAATCTGTTGCTTGTTCCAAGCAAACAACCATTAAAATCATTTTTTAAAAAGTGTTCTAAAAGTATATTTTATGTTCTTAGTCAAATTTCAATGTCATGAAGTCAGTGCCTTCAAGAAATAAAAAGCAATCCTTGATTAAAAAAAAAAGCTAAAAGTGTTTGTTTTTTAACTCACATTTATTTTATGACTTGATAATTAAAATATTTTTTAAAAAATAGAAATATGTTAATTAAGAGTTAGAATATAAAGAAAATAGTTATAAACATATCAGTATCATAGTTTTATAGAGAGCATCACAATTGATAATATGTTGTGATAATTTTATAGCATCTTTTTTATTTTTTCACATTGCTATCACACTACTGCTTAGCTTTTTTTTCTTTTTTTTTCTTTTTTTTTAATAAACTTAAAATCTATTTTTATACTATCAGATCTGCTAATCTGAGATTTATAATGTTCACAAAACCTTTTAAAAAAATTACTTTCCCTCAACCGTTGTCATTTATCGTGATTTGGAAGAGAAAAATGGAGGGTTATTTTAGGTAGTCAATAACCAGTGTAAAACTTATCGATTAATCACAAATTAGATTTAAACAAGAATCTGACTCTCAGCAGGAAAAAAATAGAAAAAAATGATTCATGCTGCTGACCCCACATTATGGGATAAAACTTTGATGTTATTGTTGTTATTATTGTAGTACTCGCCCGCAATCAATATCGTTCGCCTAGATATTCAAAAGAGACTTGAATTTCTTAGACTTATTTAATCATAATTAAAGATCAACTATAGTGAGAGGAACTATTAAAAAACTCCATTAATAAACCTTTGAAAGTCCTAAGCATAAATGAATAACTTCAATTAGTAGCTAACCAAATGACTTAGTTATAAAATGGGCAAATATTAAATAATAATTGATCCTTTACCTGATATTGCTTTAGATAGGAAATTAATAAAATAAAATTCTTGCATAAAGTTTCATTTATATAGTTTCCAAATAATAATAGAAATTTAAAGAGGAATCATAGAGTTCCAAATCAATTGAGAGACTGAACACAATACACATAAATGATTATTTTTTAGCTATAATTAGTGTGATATTTATTAAAAAACACATAATTAAAAAAAATCAAGAAATTTGATAAAAAAGACTTAGGCTTCATTTAGGGCAGTTTTTTTTATACTTTCTAAAAGTAGCTTTTTAGTATAAAAATTTTTAATTTGATAATTTTTTATATTAGAAAAATGTCTTATAAAATAGTAAAGAAGTCATCCCGATTCCTTAGGATCTAACTCATTTATTGTTTTACTTTTCAGACACAATCGAAGTTCAATTTGACTATTATTTTTGCGACGGCTTCTAAAATAATTTCTTTTTGCATAAAATTTTATAATCACTTTTACACAAAATTGCAAGCAACCCTAACAAATCCTAAGTAGATTACAAAAATAATTAAGAGATGATTGATTTAGAGTAATAACTTTCTTATCTTAAGATATTAATATAAATGGAATAATTTAAAGTAAAAGAAAGGTTTATGTACATAAGTTTACCTTTATCTTTGCTTCTTATACCTAAAGAATAAATAAATATTTTATTTGCTAAGAACTAATAAATGGTACTTTAAAAATATATTTAAATATCAAAAAAATTGAAAAAAAAAATAAATACAAATTTTTGTATTAAAAAGCTGTCTTATAAAACTGTAAAAAAATCATCCCAAACGAATCCTTAAGATCTAACTCATTTATTGTTTTACTTTTCAAACAAAATCGAAGTTCAATTTGACTATTATTTTTATGACGGCTTCTAAAATAATTTCTTTTTGCTTAAAAAGTTTATAATCACTTTTACACAAAACAGCTATAAGAAATAAATAAATTTTTTATTTGCTAAGAACTAATAAATGGTACTTTAAAAATAAATTTAAATATCAAAACATTGAAAAAATAAATAAAAATGACAGCTGTGGGATTTGAACCCACGCCCTTTCGGACCAGAGCCTAAATCTGGCGCCTTAGACCACTCGGCCAAACTGTCATTACTAATTAAAATTCTCAAACATAATACTTAATTAATAATTTTTAATGAGTAATCATCACAATTAAGCAACTCTTACCCTTTAAAATTTATAATAAATTTACATCATTATCAAATTAGATGATTTGATTAGAGAAACATTACATTTGTGTTAACATATTTTAATATATTTTATATTATAACGCATGTGATTAATTTCATATGTCACATATTATCACTCATTTAATTAACTTGTTAATTGATATAATATAACGGCTAGACAAAAATAATTAAAATATTAAATATAATCAAAATAAAAAAAAATCTATTTTAAATATCTTTTTTGTTTAATTATATCAATCCAATAACTTAGATGTATTTTTTATTAATTTAAATATGTTTACTTAAATTGCCACAAATAAAAAATATAATAAAACGATTATTTTCTGAGGAGCTCAGTGTCTGCAATTTATTCATATCGCATATTAGTTCTAATAAGTGATTGAAATATCAAAAATTAATATATCTCATCTTGGTCTATTCGTTAGATATTTTAACTATCAATTAAGAGATTTTAATCTTCCATATATGATGTATGAATTTATCTTAATTGACCTAAATATCTAAAAAAAAAATTCCATAATAGCATGCACATTTTTTAGGCTTCCGTCCCAAACAACACAATCAATATGAGCTATGAATGACAACTCTGATAAAGTTTCTTATTCAAAACAATAAACTGAAACGCTGTCAAACAATGGAGGAATTATTACATGCAGTCACCGGACCGTCCGGAGAAAAATCAGGATGCGCCACGTCACCCGATACACAACGGTACATAGTACCGATACACAACAAAAAAGTGACGTGGCGCATTCTAATTCACCTCCGGACAGTGTCCGATGACCGCACGTAATAATTTGCACAAAAAATAATAGTATAATTTAGCAGTGAAATAATGCCTAAGAACTGCGATGAAAAGCAAAATCAAACACAATACAGAATCAATTCCCTTTGTTCTATACAAATGATTTTTTTCCCAACTCTCACTATCTTAATATTTTTCATTGATGTACAAAAACGTTAGCAAAGGCATCTCCAGGTTCTCATTTCCTGAGGAAAGACACCATACAAATAAACGCAAAGCAGCGAGAAAGCAAACCATATGCAACGAGGACGACTATGCAAAGATTCCATTCATGGATGTTATACCCATATTTCATAAGAGAGGCGCATCGAGTAATCAGCCACACGCCAGAATACCTGCAAAATTTATCACCAGGTCAGAAATCAATATCTTTCTCTTCGTGATTAGGAAAATATTTTACTAATTCCAGAAACTAAGGCTTCGTGTGAGACGGCTTTCTTACTGCTTCTTTAAGTAACTATTTAGTACAAAAATTAAAAATTTTGTACTAAAAGCTGCTTTAAGAAGGGGTAAGAAAACAGTACCAAAACTAAGACTAAATTTCTCAAAAGCTGTGAGACAACAAAGGCAAAAGAAATTATGGTTGCAGCTAGAAAGCTATCCCAAACAGATCCTAAGGCTTCATTGGGGACAGATTTCTTATTACTTTTTAAAGCAACTTTTTAACATAAAAAGTTCTGGGAAGCAGTAAAAAAATAATAATCAAAAGGTGTCTCAAACAAAGCCCAAGTCTTCTCTTCATTTTGGCATTAAATACAGTCCCTCATAAAATTAGAAAGAATGATGATTAGAATATATTTTTAGACAATGAACTTATTATAAGATGAATGTAATACTAGAAATGATTGTTTAGTCATATAATACTCTCATCGTAAAATAAATCTAATCATTATGAATAAAATTTGTGTCGAAATATTCTGATATAAATTGTCTCAGGATGGGTGGTTAAAAAATGTTGGATTTACTTTTGAGATTAGTTTAATAAAAATTCTTCATATACAATATCATTCTCAAAGTAAATTCAATAATTTTTAAGCAAATTTTGATGTAATTTATCTAAAGGATATACTGACATAATTTCTTCCATAATTATTAAATTCTTCTTAAATTTTAGTTAGTATCTTAATCTAAATTTTCTCCTATTGCATATGAAGGTTGTATGTTTGGATATCAACTGCTACTGAAAATTACGAGTCACAAGTTTTAAAGGCGATCTTATGTAGCATTCAACAAGGAGAGATTATTAGGTGCGGAGTGCAGACGAGGAGAACCGTCCGCACACTAATATAAAATCCAACTATGTACCATTCGGTACCGCTGGGTACCACTAGGTACCGCTTGGTACCCTGTGTGTGTGCAGACGGTGCTCTTCCCGTCTGCACTCCGCACCTAATAATTTTTCCTCAACAAGATGGAATATTAATAAAGCCAATTCAAAATAATAAGGATAAGACAATGAAGATTGATGATGATTTGTATGTTTTTTGTACTAGAGGTACATATTCAAAGCTGTTAATGGAAAGCATAAAGTCATGTTAAAGTGAAAACAGCCATTAAATGCAGTGTCAGATTAATCCAGCCAAGCAAAAAGGCCTAACAAATTTTTTTGTGCAAAAGAGTGATTGGTGATTATATTTTGGTTTCAGCTTCTTTCTTGCTCATCTTCAGCTTGATTGTCCATGTGGGGAAATGTATAAATTCTTAGAGCATCTCGAACCGAAAATCCCATTTTTCACTTCAAAATACAGTGAAAATAAAAAATATCGTGATTCATTTTCAATCGAACTCCATTTTGCACGCTGCTGCGAAGGTAACCGTCTCTCTTCTTTCGAGCATTTCTTCGGCAAATCCAGTTGAGACAGAAAAATCCCGTAGGTGAACAGTGCAAGGTCAATATTGGCGTTGCACTTTTCACCCGCAAGCAAATAGCGGTAGATTTGGCATTCAACTGGAGCGACCGAACAACGCCATACACATGTTTGACATTCGGTTGGAGATGCTCTTAGTTCTTCAATTATTTTCTTCTTTCAACAGTAAAGTCAAATGTTTATCCTTATTGTAATTGTAAAAATCGGGTACTAAATGAAACGCAATTTTTGATGCAAAGCACGGATCTCAAAGGATATCAAAATAACCGAAACAACTCAAATTTTTTAGTTCAAAAATTAATTCAAAAGAGGCAAAATTCAAAATAATATGAAACTATTATCGAATGGACCATCGCCACACAACAATTCCAACAACTCTAAAAACACCAAAATCAAGCAAAAAAACCAACCCAGATAGACAAATCATGCTTCTCTACATGATATGTAAATCACATGTGAGAATGTCAGCCTCAGGGGGCTCTGTTAGGCTGCCCTATCAAAACATCTTAGCCCCAATCTACATGAAGATGTTATAAAACCGGGAAAGATACTATGAACTATACAATTCTCCCTCCATTTATAAGTCGTTTGGGGTGAATAGTTACTCTAGAGAAAATGAATATTCGATACAAATATGGAGGCATATCTTCACTGCTCTTCAGTGAATCCAAATTTGATCCGCGTACCTTTTCAAAAATTTTCCCATCAATCAACTTAACTATCAAAATTTCAATCTAACAACTTAATTGTATTATATTTTCAAGATCCAGTTGTTACTTATTACAGATCGACATTGAGAAAAACAAAAAAACACAAAAAAACAGGCAAGCTTGGAAATTTAAGCCCATTGTTGATATGGTAAAGACGATCTGGTAGATTACGCACCTTTCTGCGTTTGCTAAGACAAATCCCTCCAGTGCCCACTTAGTGTAGCATAAATTAGACAAAAAATTTGAGTCTCTTTGCTGCGTTGCTATCAGAGTCAAGACGACAGGAAGAAGAGCAGAGCACTGCAGGAAGAAATTTTGAGGCTATTAAAAAAAATATAACCTTGTGTTATTTAAATGATATAAGCAGTTAAAAAATTCATGAGACTTTCTTTACTCACCAGTTGAGCTGAACCAGGTTGGAAACAAATAGCAAAAACATAACCAATTCCAGTGACACAGTAGACAAGTGCAACTAAGATGATGAAGTTATCAAGAATTGATGACCTTGGGTTGTTGAAGAAATAAAACATTGAGAGATAAACTACAGGCTTGACGAGTGTGTTGAATTGATCAATGGTGTCTTTTGAGAGAAAATAAGCCAATGAACTCATGCCAGATGCCCTCTCTCTCCAATAATGCAATTTGTCAAGTGAAAATGATCTCAAAGCTCCAATCTTGCATAAGAGAGCTGCAAAAAATGAACAAAATTCATTTATTTCAAGCATTTGAAGGGAAAACATCAACAAGGTTGTGAAAACCGGATTTGATATTGAAATGGAAAAATGAGAGGTTTAGGGTTCAATGATTCTACCGGGGTCAAACCGGAGTTGAACTGGAGGATGTAAAAAATATGAAAGTTATTTAGATAAAATTTAAATGATAGAATAATCTTGTACTAATATAATTTTTTACAAAAAAATAAACTAAATTCACACATTAATAACATCTTATGTAATTTTAAATTTAAACATCTAATCTTTAAATTTAATTCACATTTAACATAAATTTAGTTAACATATAGATAGAATCTTGTGAAATGCTTAGTTGAAATTTCTTTGATAAATAATTATTTTAGAAAATTAAAATAAATTAAATTATAAAATAATATGTGAAAGTTAATATTTTATTCTAAACATATTAAATCAATTTATGTAATTATTTAAATTATTTATTGAACCGACTGATTCAAAGGAACCAAAATCGATTCACCGGTTTGCTGGTTCAATCCGGTTCAATGTGAAACCGATATTTATAATAAACTGAAGACCGGACTAGCCTGAAAACTGGTTCACAGTTGAACTAGTCGAACCAGCCAGTCCAGTTTGGTTTTCGAAAGCTTGGAAAATATCAAGCTTGCATTACTTTTCTTTGTTTTGTGCAATTTACAAATTACCATTCAACTGTCATGAAAATACTAGTATTTTTTAACATAGATGCAATGGAGATAAGCTAGGAATTAAAATAGATTGAACTAAATTGCTAGTTTTGATAAAAATAATTATCATGGATGTCTAGATTATTATATCCGAATCAATGCCAAAAAAAGGAAAGCAAATTTATCATTATTATAATCATAAGCCCATCATTTAAGTTTAATTTCATTCATTTTTTTAAGTTGTATTTAGTGGTAATCCTAGCTTAGCTTAGCTTGTGAACAGTATTCAATCATATTACCATAAACTTAAATCAGCCTCACTCCAAATGACACAAACTAAATGGGCATGCTCTATAACCACCCACTATGGCATAACCATAAGACCTCTCTCCATGACCTCCAATCTCCCTACGACTAGATGGTAACTTAAGGATGCACCAGTAACAAAGCGCAATGGTTGAGGATACAACAAAGAACCTTCATAAAGGGAGGGGAGAGGAGCAATAGATGTAGACGAAAGTCCATCAAACCATTTACATCTCCTAGTAATTTTGGTATTACTGTTCCTCATTTCTTTTATAATTCTTGAGCGCACACACTGCATGAAACAACAAAATAATCTACAAGAAAACTCTGCATAATTATAGTTAGCTATCACACAATGGATTGGGAATATTAGGCCTGCATTCCGACCAAGCTCGCATTAACAAGTCTTGCCCATTCACATATAGCCAGAGTGTTATTCACTTTCTTAAAGGCCATATATATAATGGTGGAACCAAACATATAGATATTCAATACTAGTTCATCAGAGATGAAGTTAAAGATGATGAGGTTTTAATTCATAAAATAAATATGGAGCACACCACTATTGATATGCTAACCAACGTCATCCCCATACTAAAGTTCAGGCAATGCCTCTATTTGATTATTTTGTACAGTTGACGAAGCCCTTCAAAGTTTTTAGCAATGAGCTTTAGCAATATGAGCATACTTTGTTGTCCGCTTTGTTCCTAGTAGATATAGAAGATTCGATAAAATTAAGGAGAAATTGTTGGCATTATATCAAACCTTAAAGGCAATTTGATAATTGTCTTAAAATATTAATCTTATTCTTCTATGGCTAAATTGTGTTAGCTCCTAGATATATGATGTGTTTGAGAAATGAACATGACTGTTGACTTAAGTCTAGAATATATGAGAGGGCCTAAAGAAAAATTTTGGTGAGATCTTTCCTACCACCTTGCTGATTTTTTTAGGATTTTGGTTCTTCTAGGGTTCTTTCTTGAAGAATTTAGTGAGAAAATCATATTCTCTTCAGCTTTTTCTTGAAAAAGATATTCCAAATTTAATGAGATCTTTTCTACCACCTTGCAGATTTTTTGAGAAGAGGACTTGGTGTTTTAATATTCTTCTTAATGTATAATTCACTTTATGGATATATACATTTTTTATTGAACAACATAAATCTTGATGTTAATCTCTGTGACTGCTTTATTGTTCTATTTTACATATGATTGTGTGGAGCTAATTTTGTTGCTCCTAGGTTAATCCATTTGACCTCTGGCACTCAAAAGTAAGTGATCTAGACGCTTCCGTTACAAGTGAATGCAAACAATTTATAATATTGCCATCAATATCTCTCAAACAACTTGGAATACATAAATGTTTAACATTCTATTAATTGTAAGTTTTTCAATAATTAGGCGAAAGGAAACTTAATATGAAGAAACCTAAATCTTGCACTTACAGACTGCAATGACTGTGTATGTATAACCAACTGCCCCAAATGATTCATCTCTCACTTTAGCAAGTGTCCCCAAGCAAACTCCAGCTAGGCATAATATTAGATAATCAATTCCTTGTAATCTAGCATCACGCAATCGCTGCTTACCAACCCTGGAAATGGAAAATTATAAAACATCACACAAATGATAATTGAAAGTATGGAAACATCAATCAGATCTTCAACCAACAAAAGAGCAATTGCTCCTATTGAACATCAATCCTCTTTGCCGCCATGAAGTACAGTGAAGCTAGTTTTAAGTATATGTCAGTCGAGAACAATACCTTCCCAAGAAGAGTCTGTACTGCTGCAGAACACCAGGTGTTCGGCGGTTAGATAAATCTTTTGCTTTTGATAAACTCTGCTCAATATGTTCTCTTATATGCTCAATGGCATTCTTAGTATCATTCCAGAGTTCACCAGAAATTGGCTGTTCATTGATTCCACCAGAAGATGTGCTTGCTTGGTTCTGCAGCATGAAAGGGGGTACATTATACCCATTAAGCAGCATCCATCTGAGGGGAAGTTCTCCAACATCGATTCCTGGAGGCTTTATTATGCCCTCTAAGATATCAATGAAGTAGTCTGGAGGATTAACACGCTCAGGGACAACAATCCCAAAATCTGAGAAGTACTCTTCAACTTTCTTCACAGCTCCAAGATATACAATCAAACCACCTTTTGCTAGTATTACCAGGTCATCAAACATTCTGAACAAGGTATAACTGTACGTAGAAAAATATAAAGCATTAATCCAAATAATGATTCTTTTAACAGATAATGCAATGATGCTAATAGTGATGATGATCTAACTATTGTAAAATAAGCTGATGCCATTAGTTAACATGCTTTATTGATTCATGTGCTGCTGTATGAATTGCTGCACGGATTTGATTCCATACCTTAACTTCATTTCCTGTAACTGAATGTCACGGATATGACAAAGAATAGTGCTCTATTTAAAAAAAAACAGCAATGTGGGTAAAACATGCACCAATAAGATGAACATATATATGAATCAGATTATCAGTGAGTCAATGTTAAAAAAAACACCAATGTGGGTCCCACGATCGTTCAGCACTCTCTCTCAAATTGACTAGTATAAATCCACCATTCTAAGCTTACTTGAGATTGCTAAGTACTTTGATGAGAACATCAACGAGTTAATTTCCTGTTGGCACATATGAAGTTCAAATCAACCCATTTTATAGTTTCTCTTTTTATGTAATTTCTATCCATCTCCATATGTTTGATACGATCATATTATATTGGATTATAAGCAATGTGATGATAGATCTATTGTCACAATATACCATCATTGGCCATTCCCATTTGATATTTAAATCTTTCAAAATAACATGGACTCACAGAAGCTCGCTAAATGAAAATTGTTAACCTTTAGGTAAAGAACAAAAAAAAAAAGCAGCTCGCCTCGTATATGTCAAGAAGATCTCGTAAATCCCACAAGGAATCCCGCCGGGTTACTGTGCACTCGGCGCCGCTCACGTCGCCTCCCACGAATCCTGAGAACTCACCTCGATCGTTACTCCGATCACGCCTATAAAACGAAGCAGAGCCTTGCCTTCGGGGACCTCTTCCATTCTTCGCCTCTTCTTTCTCGGTCGAAAGCTCCGAACAACATCCCGTAGCTAGGGGTGTCAATTTTTGACACGACCCGAAACCCGACCCGAAAAAATCTGGGCTCGGGTCGACTCGTTTGTGAAACGGGTCGGGTTCGGATTCAATAAACTGACCCGTTTCAGAAAACAAGTCGGGTTCGGGTTGACCCGGCAACCCGGAAATGACCCGGAAATGACCCGAAAATGACCCGAAGTTGACCCGAAAATCCTCTACCCGGGTATGCTGCCCGCCCTGCCGGAAACATCGAGTGCCCTGCCCGAAGCGTCAGCTGTCAAGTCGCGTTGACGCCTGCAGGGTGCGCGTCCCGAAGCGTCGAGTAGGTCGTCTCGTGCGTGCGTGACTGAGCGCGTCCCGAACCGGCGAACCTGAAGCATCATGTCGACGCCGTCGAGTCACGTCGCTCGCTGGGAGGCTGTTGAAATTTCAGATGAACGTGAGACTTGACTTAGACCTAATTTGAATTCAAAAGAACAAGAATTTGGACTTGCACCAAATGGACCTAAATGAACTTAAACTCAAATGAATTTAAAAAATATAAGACTTGAACTTGATTGAACTCAAAGGACCGCAGGGGACATAGAACAAATCTCAAGCAAGGACTTGATTCGAACTACAAGGTTGAATGAACTTGAATATGAAGCAAGGAACTCGAACTAATTAAAGAACTTGAACCAAACGAAATGCAAAAGACTTTGAGTAAAAAACTTGAACTTGCAAATGAACTACACTTAAACTTGATTTGAGCATCCAATGAACTTGAACTTGCATTTGATTTGCTTGAACTTGCATTTGATTTGAAAATCAAATGATATGAACAAAGATTTGAACAATTTGAACACAAGCAAAGACTTGCAATTTAACTACGAAGGACTTGAACTTGTACTCGGAACTTGAATTATAATGAAGCTTGAGTTTGGATCATAGCAATAAACTCTCAATAAAGATTAAGGAATTATCATTCCATTAGGAGTTGCAAATGCTAATCAAAGAGGGTGATCCATTTGAATTTCATCCAAGCAAGCAAACATTCACCCATGAAGTCATTACAAGCTTTGGCATAAGCTTATTTGAGCGATCATAATCAACCCATAATGAATTGTTCATGAGGGATATACTCATAAACAAGATAAGGGGATCTAATTTCTCTACAAGAAGTATAGTGAACATATTAGCCCACTTATGATTTATATCAATGGCTAAGGTGTGAAAGTAATAGCTCCCCTACAACCAACATCAGCTGTCTCGTAGATACAAACGGCGGCAGCCACAAGTACTAAATGACGCATATGCGAATGTTGCAGGTTATCAATCAACATACATGGGGAGATTATTGATGAATGTAATCCATTCAACATTCAATGTTAATATACAAAGTGAATGTGCTAAATCATCCCTACAAACATACAACGTTATGCCACAAATGATACGACATGTTTGTGAGCAAGGTATGAAGAACATTTGGTAGATGAAGCAACTGCTTTACAATACTTCTACCATCAACATCAGAACATAAGCAACCATTTTCAATCTTGCAAGCAACGAAATAGGAGGGGATGTATAATTTGATCTCGAACAAATATACAGCAATAATTCTTACGAGCATTAGAAGACATGCAAGTAGATGTGGCAGTTCACCAATCAACAATACATAAAGAAGTTAAGAACGTATAGAAGCGCCTACAAGCTATGTAGTAGAAGATAATAGGTGCTTTATCATCCTTGTGGTCAACTCATATACAATGTCAATCAAATATGTTGATCATTTGCAAGCAGTATTTAGAAGATCTACAATATATACAAGTTCTCTACGGAGAGAAGTGGTCATTTTATGGGTAGATGAAGAAAGACTTCAGTAAATGTAGTATCATGTAGTCAATTTCAGTATGTGAAAGAATAAATCTATTTTCCTACCCATAGCAGTAGCGGATGTACTACATGAGCCAAAGACCACAGCAAAGTGCATGAAGAATACAACAGATACAAGCTCCCACGAGCTTCTGTTGGAGCCCCGCTATAAATATCACATACCATCTACGAACAAATGCCAAAGGGACTACATCAAATGCAAATTTCTACGGGCTATCGTAGAAGATCTTTAAAGCATCCAAAACAAAAAGCCCCCGCACATGCACTGTAGTTTGTATACACATAGGTACACAGAAAGGGGGTATGCAACCAAAAACTCGTATGGGCCCCGGCGAGTGTGTTATTGATACACACGTGACGTCTAGGGATGCTACGCGGGTCAATAAGTGAATTCAAATTCGAACCTGATCCTTCTATGAGGATCAATATGAGTCGACGGGGTTCGAACCATCAAACAAATATACGGTTGTGGGGATCGGTATATTTATTTTAATACATTCATATTATGCATTCAAGCCCTATAATTAAAAGAATTCACTAACAAATGTATAAAGCCTATGAAACCCGATCCTATGTTGACATCTCAACAAAGTTGATAAGGTTTAATCCATAAATACAATGAACCCATATTCACCCAGATGAATGCCGCGTTGAACAGAAAATCTCAACTGGAGGGGCTCACTCCGATCATTTCAAATGCCTCCCAAAAATCCAAGCTCCACAAAAATTTCAAAACTCAAATATTTAAAATTGAAATCAACCATCTGAATACTTAAAGCAAAAATTCATTCACCCTCCACAACAGTTTGCTGAGGTGGACAAATTAAAATTTACTTCATCTCACATAGAGCTAATGCCTAGTCGAAAATATCACTAGGATCCATTCTCAAACAATCTTCTGCCAGTAAAGACGTGGTACATGTCCTTTAACCGGCGGTTTTGCGGCCAAATGGCACAACGGGAAAAACGGTTATGACTCGGGGCCCGCTAAACCCAGTGGTTTTACCGTCAAATGGCACCACGAAATACCGGTTATGGCCATAGCAAGTACGTTTCTTAGTGGCATCAAATCCTTGAGATATGAATCAATATGATATGATCGACATGGCACAAAGCCCTCTGTTAGCTAAGGTGGATTCAAATTTGTCCCCTTAGACAAACATTCACCCCATGTCTACAAGGTACCCTTGGACGAAGCAACCCATGGCTGCCGATAAGGTTCCTTCTGTCAGGTTGGGTCGACTACCTCCTCTGACTAAGTAAACCATGGACCATGATGACCCGGGACGACGGAACCCTAGGATCTTGATCGGGTCCATCATCCATTCCCCCACCATCCGCTTTAAGTGCAAGATGGTGAAATTTCTAATTTTAAATATCAAACTTTCTCAAATATCTCAACCCAAATCTTCAAATTCCCAAATATAAATTCATGTTGCTATTGTATGCCAGATAACACGTATCTCTACGTATCTGATTGACGACTAGCCTTAATCAAAAGTTCTCTCTCGTGAGCGGGAGAGGTAATTAACTATAGGGGTTTGCGCCTATAGGAAACCAAAACTCATATCATAAAGTCCTCACAAAATGAGGGCGAAATCTCTGGGTAGTGTCTTATCTACAAACTCATATGCCTTCCAAAATTTACCCCGGAACTTAATTCCATTAAAACTCCCCTCACCGAAGAAAAAGCAATCAGCGGGCGGAGGCTAGGGCCGAATTTTCAGAGCCCACAAAAATAGAGATTTTTATTTTTATTATTGTATTAGTAAAACCGAAATTAGAGAGGCTTATATGAAGCTATACAATTGTTGAGAGGTTTGATGGTGAAGTATAGAGAGAGTAAGGAGGATCTACCTATAATATTTATTGATTTAGAGCAAACATATGATAAAGTTCCAAGAGAAGTGCTCTAGAGTTCTAGAAAAGAAAGGAGTTAATAATACTTATAATCAAGTCATTAAAGATATTTATACAAAAGCTATTACCTGTGTTCAAACATAAGGTGGTTGACCAAGTATTTTCCTATTTCAGTCGGATTACATCAAGGATGAGCTTTAAGCCCATATCCTTTTGCTTTAATCATGGATGTTCTTGCTTTAATCATGGATGTTCTTACTAGACATTTGCAAGAATTATGCCTTGGTGTATACTAGTTGATCATATTATTCTTGTTGATAAGACTAGAAATGGAGTTGAAGAAAAATTTGAATTATGGAGGTTAACCTTAAAGTAAAAAAGCTTTCGTTTAAGCAGATCTAAAACCAAAAAAAGGGAGTGTAATTTTAATAGTAATAGATCTGTATTGTGACATTCTATGAACAAGTCATTAAAAATAGTGCTCGTTTTAGATATCTCACATTTATTGTTCAAAGTAATGATGAAATAGACTTTAGTGTATTTTATTAATTAAGTATGCTGAAATTAAGACTATTTCTTCCCAATATCTTTTTGGCATTTGATTCTAAAAGAGAATAATCATTGTGCCTTTTATAAGATGTTGATTTTTACGTTTTGCCACTCCATTTGTTGGGTAGTGTCATAATAGAATGATTGATAGATGATAAATTTATTCTAAAAGAAAGATGATAATATGTTAATAAAACAATCACGGCATTATTAATCTAAAATAACTTAATGTCAATATTGAATTGTTTTTGCCTCATAGCAATTAAAAGGGTGAGAATAATTCTAACATCATATTTTTACTTAAGATATACCTATATAATTCGAGTATAATCATCAATGAATGTTACAAATCTTGTTACTCCAAAAATATTATGAATTTTAGAAGGCCCCCAAATGTCAAAATAAACAATTAGAAGAAGAGTAGATAAACTAGAATCACCTTCAAGAAAAATAACACAATGATGTTTGGCAATTTCATAAATCTCACAATGAAAATTTGTCCTAATTATATTCAAAAAAGAGAAAACATACATAATAAGATTATGAAAGAGGAATGCTCTAGCCTATAAAAATGTTCCCAAATGACTTCTTTAGTGAAAATGAAATTTATGTCTTCAAGAGGATATAGCACATCTTTTTTTCCAACTTGCCCAATTGTCTTTCCCATAATAAGGTCCTCAAATATATAATGATTTGAAAAACGTCTACCTTGTAGTTATGACCTTTAGTAATTTTATGGATTGATAGAAAATTAACTGGAATATGAGGACCAAGCAGTACAATTTTTAGGATAAATATGAAGAAAATTAAAATATTTCCTTGACCTACAATAGTTATTAGAGAACTGTCGACCAATTTTATTTTTCTATTGCTAGTGTAGGATTTGGAGGTTTAAAAAAGGTTGGAAATATTGATCATGTGATTAGTGGCTCATGAATCTAAGATTCTAGTGTGAGAAATTATTTAAGGAACTAAAAACACGGAAGTTAGAAGTCATCTAAATAGCATGATCTGGATAATTTTCTATTTTAAAGAGTTAGGAAGTTCTTGTATTTGTCGTATCATCATAGCATGTTATCTTGAGATATTGGTAATAATTTAGTTCAATCCAATAAATCTTCATTTTATTAGAGTACGTATTCATAGGAAAATTAACTTATTTGGTTATTGAAATCTTAATTTTGATCTCATAGATGAGAGCAACATCCTTCACTTTGGTTTATCTGACGGTGTCCAAAACTTCATTTGCAATAAAAAAAAATATAAATAGCCACTGATTTAAGGTATCAACATATTCCACAAACATGACATAATCATGGAATCTAGTTCATCCTAAATTACAAATTTTAGGCCTTTCAACTCCAAAGGAGGATCTACAAAATGATAGATCTTTCCCTTTTCTTTTATAAAAGTCTTCACAAAATGAGAACATTTCAAATAATTTCTCTCATTCATACAATACGAAGCTTGTAGCCCCGGCAGTTCATTAGTATGATTTTCACCATTCCTTAGAAAGAAATTTAATGAAATCAGCCATAATGAAGAGAATGAAGAATCTCGATAAAAATGGAGAAAAAAAGAACAAATGTTCGATAATAGAAATACTAACCTCGCTCTGATACCATGTAGAAAAGTAAAAAAAAAAAAACTACTTTGAATTTTATTACTTGACTTCGTATAAAATGTATAAATCTTAATAGAGTTCTCTAAAAACCTTACATAAAAAATAGATCAAAATTGTTTACAAAAAAAAAAAAGAAAAAAATCCTCATTAGGGGCTAGAAACTAGGATGGGAAGACATGCATATTATAATCTTAGGGACATAAGATGATCCATCCAACAGTTAGAACCCTTAATTCATGTGCCCATGGATTCCTATTAAGAATGGTTGGCTTGTGAGTCCCCCAATCCTTCAACATTTGTTAAATATGCAACAAGTATTTGAGTAGATGTAAATAAAAAGGAACTAAAAATTAAATAATCACGTCATGATGAATATTGTATAGACCTGGGTTGGTGAACCACCATGCAGATGTTTACCCCTTCAAGTGCCTCTCGACGAAGAGCTCTTAGAAGTAACTGAGATGAAGCACTATCCAATCCAGATGTGGGTTCATCCAATATCAGCAATGAGGGCTCCATCACCATTTCAAGTCCAACATTCACTCTCTTCCTCTGGCCGCCAGAGATTCCACGCTTTTCTACTGTTCCAACAAGAGAATCTCGAACAGGTTGCAATCCCAAAGATTCAATTACTCTTTCCACAACCAAAACTTTATCAGCCTTTGACATGTCTGCGGAAAGCCTACAGAACATATGAATATATATCAACAACTGCAAATAAAGAAATAAAGAAATTAAACGCCCCATAACAAAATGGAAAGATATATATATATATATTGGGACCAAAGAATCACAATTATCACTTGTCAACAAAAACAACGGCTAAAGAATAATAAAGCGCAACAAAAATGATAAATAAAAATTTGGATTTTATTGCAAAAATGAAGTTGAAATAATTAAATAGTCTTACAAATGCTTCTTGTAGACTATACTTCATTCAACTGCATGAAGGAGATGTCGAACCAACAAAAGTTCAGAAAGAGAAATGTTTAAGTTGTAAGTTCGACAAAACATATCAAAAGAACACATTCATAAAGAGTGCAAGCGTTCGAGAGATTCACCATTCAGAAAAGTGCACTTACAGCACAAACATGTCTAGCCCCAAGGGAAAGATGATAGATTTAGAAGCATCACAAACAATAGCAGTTTTGCCCATTTTCATCAAAGCTACAACCAAAGGATAAAACAAATAAATGAAGCAACTAAATATTCAATTTTGTCTGAAGCATAAAAATCCATTTCTAAGCACGAATTTTAATAAAGTGCATGCATCTCAAAAAAAAAAGGTGGCGCCTGAATTTACTCAGGCTGGCTAAATTGAATATCATATAAGCTCATAATAATGTGCTGACCACAATATTAGATCTAACACATTGCGCCAAACCCGCAGACACTTAGCCCAAATTAAATGCCTAGAAGGCCCTAAGTCGGTTGAACCTACCTATTGAAGGCAAACTTGGCATCTTCCTTTCGTGGCTTATGTGCAACCAAAAAGCCGTTTGCAAGGAAAAAGGTGGGCATAGAAAAGGTGATCACAATAGCTTTGCCACAGCACTAACACTGGCAGGGGACATCAAACTTACACTTTAGGCTTACTTTAACACAACTAATGCGCTCTCAGTTTCTGATTGTGCCAATGTGCACTCATTATCATACAATACATTCCATGAAACTTGAACTTCTCAAACCTATTATGCATCTATTATTCCATTTCACGAGACATGCATCTCAAAATGTTCTTCTTGAGGAGAGGACTTGATCCATGTAAAAATAGCATGGCACTGACAGCAATTTCCCGCGACCCCATTCAAAAGGCAATAAACCTTATCAAAATTATCTAATACAATCTAGCCATCGATACTCCAATCCATCACCAAATTATCGCCTACAACTAGCATATTAAGATCATCAATGGGAAAGAATCACCAAAAATTTCTCAGATCAACCATACCTCAAGTTAACAAGCAACGTTAGCCTAGCAGGCAACAACATCGTATGATCATAATTTGATCATACGAGGGTCTCCACCAACTATTTTTGATAAATATGAAGAATATTTTTTTTTAAGACGAATCCTTCATAAAAAACTAAAAATAGGCCCAAATTAGCTCATCTGAAAGCTTTTTTCTAGTTTTGGAATAGTCCAAATTGATCACTTAGGAAAACCAAACTCCTTAAGCCTCCTCTCAATAAATGAAAGCCGGTAGTAGTTTTTCTTAAAGTAAATAGCACAAGTAATCAAATTCCCCCTAATAATAGGGTATTGTTTATCTATATATGGTGTTGAGACTTCCTATAGGGCCAAATCCACACAATGATCACCCCTACTTTTGTAGGAGGGTACTCTCTATTAAGAAGGTTACTTAGGTTAACTTTTAGCCTTTTATTTTTAGTTTTGAATTCGGCTAACTTTTAGCCTTATATTTTTTGTTTTTAAATTTGAATTTGATTGAAAAGAGGGAGGTAAAGCCAATCAAACTCCTATAATTCGCTCACCTTGGGTTTAGAAGTGGATATAATCTACCAATGTCATAGGGCTTTGAGTTTAACATTCAGGGAGCCTAATTAACAAAAACTATTCTCTTTTCAAGTATCCCAATAGACTAAGTGAGAGAGTGTATTAAATATAAGTTCCTCATCTCAACTTTAATTTGTTTATCACCTAAGGACTTATCATACCAACTTGATAGAATGGTTCACAGGTGCATAGCATGCCCACTAATAATTCTAAGATGCAAGACATGAATGTTAAGGGCTGCAAGGCATGTCATGACCATCAATTATTCATGCAATTTAGTTTGCGCAGAATGAGCATCTCTAAACACATGAGATTTTTTTAGTTTGGTTTTACTTAGTGATCTCACTAGCCTAAAAGTTGGCCCGAGTTCAATTATTTTTAGGGCTTGATAACATTAGAGCTAGCCCAGAGTGATGTAGGATATTTTAAGGTCTCGTGTCATTAATGCAATCTAATATGAGATGCATAATAAAACACACCAAAAGGCCACAATTAGTATGTTTCCAACTTTCAACTTTAGCAAATATTAGTTATGCTAATGAAAAATAACAAATACATTTTTTTTAATTCTAAAAGATAATGTAATAACAATCAAGATCTGAAATCTCAAAAGAAAAATTGTAAGCAAATATAAAATCTCAGCAACAATCCAAATTCACACCACAAAAAGAAACATGGCATGCAGGACAAAGCTTCAAGCACATCGTTGAGACTAATAGCTAAAAATATTCATTAGGAAAAAGAAAAACTGACAATACATTTTTTTTCACCAGCAGTTGAACTTGAATTACTAAATTGCACTATATATGCTGTTATTAAGGTCATATACTCTAGCAGTATAATTTCAAAATCATGATAATTGATGCATGTCAAAAAATATTGACATATTTTCTACGGTACCTGCACCGTGCGCTAAACCATAGGTTTTCCTCTACCGTCAAGTTTCCATGCACAATATCATCCTGTGGCACGAATCCAATGATTTTTTTATATGAACGTATGGACTCTACTTCACCATTTATAAGAACTGAACCGCTAACATCAAAACCTGTTGTCTTTCCAGCGAGAGCACTGAGAAATGTAGTCTTTCCCGCCCCTGATGGTCCCATAACAGCAGCTACACGACCAGGCATTAGCTTCCCAGTTACGCTCTTCAGGAGATGCTTTTTACTCCCTTTCAAAGTAAGGGTTAAGTCATTAAAAGCAATTTCGATTTCAGGCCTGGTCCTTCTTTCAATATCAGCGGCCATTGAAATTACTCCTGAAAAGGTCAAATTATTGGTTTGCTGCTGCATGACCTTCTCTTTTTCAATTTGACCATAAGCATACTTGAAGATCTGGCTACGAGTATGTATTTTCTTTCCTTTGGTCATATTTTTCTTTATATTTTTATCTCCAATTTGCAAATTGAACCCACCACTACTACCAGGGTCGTCCTCAAGTGAATGTACCAACTGAATCACATGGTTTGGCTCCTTATTGCTTGATGTAGATGGTTTTGAGTGTATTGGGAGTACGTCTGAAGTATCTTGACCAGAACTTTTAACCGAATGCTTGCGGGAGAATGTGCGTGATAATTGAGTCTGAAGTTCGACTGCATGCTTTTTTGCAATATCTTTAGCAGCTTTCCACTTCTCCCGAGCTTGCGCTGTTTCTCTAGCACATATGGCAGCAGCTTCCCTGGATTTGGCTTGTCTCCTATCGCGATTTGTTAGAATTTGGCCAGAGAAGTTGTAAATAATCAACAAAATCAAACTCATTGCAACCTACAAACAATGTGGAATGGTCAAATAGTTCATAAAAGGAGTCCAATAATGACCAAAAATATGAAATATCATATTTATCATGAAATCATCAAAGAGAATTATATTTGGTATAATAAAAATATTATGTACCAATGATGAAAATTTGTTGGAAGTGAGCGAAAACTTAGCAGAAACGCATGCATAACAAGCACAACTTCATTAACAGTTTGAGGCGGCATATTTTTTTCCACTAAAATACATTAGATTTTAAAAATTGGGTCTCCCAAATTGTAATGATGTGACTTCCTAAAAGCAGCTAGTGCAATAGTTAAGCAACATGAAACCAATAGTATTTCTGAATTCTCCTAAGAAAGATCTGAGCTATTCTTAGGCCTGTGCAAATGCATGGATCTCAGTTCCTGTGGAGAAGTATGTCTGGGTGTAAAAGATGTCTAGAAATGTAAATAATTTGACCATTGTAAAAACACTTCGCCCAAGAGAAAGTGTGGACCTCCGAAAGGACACCGCTCAGCTGCAGAGTGCAGAGGATATACGACCGCACCACCCCGAGGGATAGAGACAATTGCGGGCGTCCGCGCTCCTCGCAAACGGGCCGATGGAAGGGCATATTAGATCGTACATACGACTTACCATTGAGGATAGTGGCTCTCGCCAGCGCACCCCGATGGGTAGTAATATATACGACGTGAACAAAACAACGGGTTCCCCCACCAGATACATCAGCTCGAAGTGGGGTTTATTAGATGGTGGAATTCAGTTTCCCACGCCGCAAACCCCTGTGGTTAATTACATCTCAGGCTGGAGCCTGAGAACACTCTCGATTAAGGATCATACATTATCATTTCAAAAATGGGATTAATTACCGATTTTATTGATTAGTTATTAATAGATTAAGACATGAATCCTAGGAAAATGTGTCACCAAGTTTTCTATGTTTTAAAGTCTCTATCCTAAAAGAAATATGCACCCTAAGTCTATGTTATATAAGACTCGGTCCTTAATTTTTGTCCTTAGGTGTCACTAAAGTTATGGGACGAGAAAGATGTGTTTCTAACCCTTAGGACATTCGTACATATGTCAACAGGTTTAGAGATCTAAAATAAAAGAAAGCAATCCTAGTTATAAATGAAGTTTCTATAGGATCCTAAAAGGTAGGGAGCGCGCAACCATGAGGGCCCCTAAAGGTTTTCTAAGTTTAAGGAGACTTACAGCACCGGGGGCTATGACCCGGTGGTTCCGCACGTAGCGCCCCCACTAGACTGAATGGGGGCGACTGATGCTCGGATTTGACTGTCCATGCTCCTTCAACTAGTGCTCCAATGCTCCTTCCTTTCTTACTCTCCAAAGAAAGCACCTTTTTGTTATTTGCATATCGAGTGAGTCACTTGCCATTTGAATGGCCCCTTGGTCTTAAACCTCTCCTCTTGCAGGTTATCTCCCTCTCTCAATTCTCTCCTATGCCAAAACAGCCCACCAAAATAAAAGCCAAAACTAAAACCAGGGAGGAGGAGAGAAGTTCTGCTATTATGAAGAAGATCAGTCGGCGGCCAGGGCAAGGGGTCCGTCAGCCTAGCTGGGGATTCTTGCAAACTGGAGGGAGGCGAGAGAGGGGTTCAGCCTTCTCTGGTTCCGACTGGGAGAGACGGAGAGGGAGGTGGCATGCCCAGGGCGTCTCCTCTGCTTGTGCGAACTAGAGAAAATCCCCATTTTAGAGCCTAAAGGTATCTCATAAATGCTCGTTAATCCCGAGATTACACGATTAAATTGAAGTAACAGCACATTATTTGAATTTAGATGAGATCTCTATCGTCGGTTTGATTTCTTCATTTGAGAACAATTTAAATCGTTTAGAAAAGTCAAATGGGTGTTAATTGAAATTAAATTACCTCTATTGAGCTGAAATCCTTAATTAATGAAATTAAACTAGGATCAATGCAAACTCTATTTTGAATCGGGCTCGACGAGCTTGATTAAATCAATCAAAGGCCCTCGAGGGCACTTGAATGAAAATAAATGTCAACAGAAAGGTACTAGACAGAAGTCTATAACAACCATAAATATGTAGGAAAATAGTTATCAACACCCGTGAGTAGCTGTTTAGACAAAAATCATTGGCAAAGGACCCAAGTTTTAATAAAGTTTGAAATGACTTTGGAGCAAGATGGTCTAGGGTTTGAGTTTTTCTAAAGAAATTAGAATAACACGATGCATCTACATCATGCAAGGGAACTTAAAATTTGAAGATCAAAGACCACTGTTAGAAATAAATATAAATGGGTATTTTAGTAGGCATTAGGTAACTAGGTCTATTTGATTGTTTATAAATAGACTCATTTAGAAAGAATTAGGGCATGCAAACAAAAATGTAGAAGCTCAAGAAATTTGGAAACACTTGAGCTTTGGCTTAGTAAAATTAAGAGAACATAGATTTACGGCAAAAGCTCAATATTAATAAAGAAGAATTGATGTTAAAATAATACAACATGACTGAAAGATTTAAAATATTTTGAAGACGGGATCATAACATACATAGCTTCATGAAAAGTGTTGTACCCCATAAGTGAACATGTAATATATTGAATAAAAAGTTTATAATGTTCGAGTGCTTGTAGAAGGATAAAATAAACACAATCAAATGTGTGCAAATCTTTGTAATTAGGATGCTACAAAAAGAGACGATAATAAGAAAAATCAAACTCTATATATTTAACAAACTTCCATGCTCAACGCACCAACCTAGAATTTAGGTGGGACTAAAGATTCTAGTAATAAGGTTCCAACAACATTTAAGAGGTGGCAATTTTTACGTTAAGCAATACCATTTTGTCATCCCTGTAGTCAAATTTTAGTACTTTAATGTAAGATAAAAATTAAGTCTCAACATAAATAATATATTTTTGAAGGACCGTGAATACTTCATATTATGACGAAGAAAGTAAATGCAGGTATATTTATCATTATCATCTGTGAATGTTAAAAATTATGCATAATTTGCATGCAAAATAACAAAGATGAAATTTCATACATCATTATGAATGCAATTAAATATATTTTCAGCTTGACTACAATACAATGGGAAAAATGCTCTTAATCTTCTCTATTTTACAAAAAGCACTCAAATGAGGGATGAGAACTAAATAAATCTTTCTTTTGCAACAAATAAGAGTTTATTAATGACATAAATTAGTTAAATTTGGAATACATTATTCTAGAGAATATTACTCTGATTAAACTTTAGACCTATTCATGAGTATTTTCTCAGTCGCCTAATCTTGTACCAGGGGTGGAACTAACCTTAACTTTCAGGGGGGCAAACTTATAAGTAACTGTCGATGGTACAAGGGGGCAGCGCCCCCTGGCGGGGTACTCCGAAACAAATTTTGGTTATAAGGATATTTTTGAAATTCAAATTAATAAATAAAATGATGAATTCTCTTTACTATTTGTTGGAGGCAATTGCCTAAAGAGTAAAGACCATAGAATTTTAAAACTTTTAGAGGGGGCAATTGCTTAAAAACCCTTGTAATAAAGACTAAAAAATAAATGGACAGACAAATTACCTAAAGAAAAATATAATAAAGAATTTTTTTTTTATTTTTTTAGGGGGGGTAATTGTCCCCCCTGAGCTCAAGGGGATCCACCCCTGTCCTGTACAATACAATCATCATAAGAAAAATGAACATCACAATTAGTATCAATCAATTTACCAACTAAGATAAACTTAGTAGGGAGCTTAGAAGATATAAGGCCATCTTTCTCTAAATAATTAATATCCCCAATAGTTCTAATAAGTAATTGACTACCATTAGCAATATGAATAGATGATGATCTAAAATATGGCCGAATATTATAAAGATGTGAAGTAAAAGTTAAATTAATTTGAATCACAAGAATTCACAAGTCAGGATAAAAAGGATAGTGCATTCATAACTTGGAGCCCTAAAGTTGACAAGCTTTAATTATCATCTATTAAACCAATCATAAAAAAACTTTAGCTTTGTCCGCAACTGCAAAATCTACAAAATCTGAAATGTTCCTAAGCAGTAGTATCCAACAGGACAACACGGATTGCTTACTTTTCTAAAGCAATAAATTACTGAACTATAATATGAAATCAAATTTAGATTCGGTAAAAAAAAATAAAGAGATGACGTACCATTAGCAAAACACCAAATATAGTAATATCTTGGTTGACAGAATTTGGTTTACATGAGCTCTTTTTAAAGCATCCTGCATAAATCAAAAGTAATCAAAACAGCTGATAAAACAAGTATATAAAAAATAATTACGAAAAACAAAGCACAAAATTAATTATTAGGACGTTTCCAAACTGTTAAGATCCAGTGGTGAGACTTTAATAAATGAATGATAGCATCTATATAGTGCAGTGGGCTGCAGAACTTGAATTTTGAGTATCAAACGACCTGCATGAAAGTTAGAAATACTTCTAAAATAATTCATGGAATTTTTTATTTGCTGACATCCAGCTACTATGATGTAGTGGATCGGTGGAATAAAGAGCTGCTATAACAAAACCAGAGAACAATCTAATAACTCAAAAGAGAATGTATATTTTTCTATATATCCTCCTCTTACATATTACCCTTCTATATAGCTTTTTCATTGTATTTGAACACAATAGCTCATGTATATATATCCTTAATGACTTGAATATAAGCATTATTAACTCTTTTCTTTTGTAGAACTCTCTAGAGCACTTCTCTAAGAACTTTATCATATACTTTCTCTAACTCAATAAATATCATATGTATATCATCCTTCCTGTCTCTATACTTCCCCATCAAATCTCACAATAAATGTATAGCTTCTATAGTAAACCTACTCGGTATTAATCCAAACTAATTTTGGGAAACATTAGTATCATGTCGTAACCTATGCTAAAATACTCTCTCCCATTACTTTAATGTATGACAGATTAACTTAATTTTTCTATAATTGCACACTCTTGAGCATCATCTTTATTCTTCAAAATAAGAAGCAATACACTCTTACACTCATCTAACATTTTTTTAATCTTCAAAATAATATTAAAAACATTATTAATCCAATAAATTCCTTTATCTCCTGAGCATTTCCACATATTTATTGGAATATCATCAGATCCAACTACTTTTCCACGCTTCATTTTATTTAAAGTCTCTCTAACTTTGGTTTTACTAATATGATGATAAAAATAAGAATTTTTATTATTTTTTAGGGTGCTAAGATCACTAAATCGTATTGTCACAATTTGTATTGAAAAGCTTATCGAAATATTTCATCCACCTATATTGAATATTCTCTTCTAAGAAAAGTACTTATTAATCTTCATCCTTAATGCATTCTACTTAAACTAGATTCTTATTTCTCATATATTTCTATTTGGCTAACTTATACATACATCTTTCTTCATTCTTAGTATCTAATATATTATATAAATCACTAAAAGCTAAATGTTTTACATTGCAAATTGCTTGCTTAGACTCTCTATGAGCCCCTCTATATCATTCCCAATTTTCTGAGTTTTTGCATCTAAATTGATTTTTATAACTAAGCTTCTTAATTTTGATAGTTTCTTGCACATTTTGATTTCAACACCAACTATTTTTACTATTAGAAGCTTTTTCTTTTGATATTTAAAATATATACTTTGCAATATAATTAATATCACTAACAACTTTTTTTCACATAAAATTAGCTTCCTCATGAACAATTATATCTTGAGATCTTGAATTTTACTTTCAAAAATATTTTTATTATCATTCTTTAAATGTCTCATCTAATCCTAAGAAAATATTTACTTTATTTTTCATATTCCACCACTTCATTTTAAAATCCAAAACTAATAAGTGATACTGGATGCATAAACTTACACTCAAAATAACTTTATAGTCTTTACAATCTAAATGACCTATTTTTCTTATAAAAAATTAATTAATCTAAATTGTACTATATCCATTCTTTATAACTGACGAAATGACCCTCTTTTTTCTTAAATAAGATATTATCAATTACAAAAATATAAGTTATAGCAAAATCTAATATGTTCCTATCACCTTCATTAGTCACTCCAAATCCATAACCATCATCAATATTTTTAAAATCTTCTACCACTCTACCAATATATCCATTTAAATCTCCTCAAATAAAGATTCTTTTTCAAGAAGTATAATTTGTATTAATTCTTCTTAAATCATTTCAAAATTTAATTTTTAATACATATCCAAACCTACTTAAGGAGTATGAGCACTTATAATAGTAATAATCTTAACATCAACAGTAATCTGTAAAGTTATATTTTTATCCTCAATTATATTAATTTCTACAATATTATCGTTCAAATATTATCTATAGTCACACCACCATTTCAAATACAACTCATATCATAATTTAAATCCTAAACCATGAATACATAAAATATTTATATTCCTATAAATTATAATATCTATTAATTCCATTAATTTACCTATAAGAGAACGTATATTCCAAGTTCATATCTTAATTCTAATTTCATGCACTAGCTTATGTGCCCACATCCGTCTATGATGTGAGAACCCTTGCTCATTTAACATTGCACCAAGGAACTCCCTGGCATACAGAGCACTACACCAAGGAACACCCTAGCATACATGTCATACAGTACGTAGCAAAATTTAATATCCAATACAACAACCCTTGCACACTTTTCGCTCTATTCATCATACAGTACATCGCATCCAAGGAACACCCTAACATCAATACAATGTATTAAAGGATTCATGTCATGATTATTCGATAAATTTTATACTAGTTGTTAACTACTTAACGTAATCCTCGAATTTTTTCATCCAACACTTGAGACCCGACAACGGCAATATTAGTTGGTTGAATAAACAAGCTAGAACAAAAATCATTTTGCATTGGAAGGCCAACCTTCATTACTAGGACTAAGAGTGCCTGCGAGCACCAATGCAATCGTAACTAACACAAATATTTCAACCAAAAAGCACAATTCCATAGAATTTATTCATACCCTAATATGCTTTCCCAGCTCAGTGACCTCTGTATTAGATCTGATTCCCTTATGAAGGCAAAAATGAACTATTTTTAATCAGAATCGAGAATAACAAACAAAAACTATAGCATGCATATTATAAAGTAGCGTTTGCCAACCAAAATCTTGGTGAAGATGAAAATGGATAAGTAAATAAATAGAAATGTTAAATGTAAAGCACGTGATGAAACAAGTACTCTCTTTTCATGTGCAAATAACTTAACAAACTTCAAAATTACTTCAAGGAAGCATCTTAAACACTGATATTCTCTATTAACAAGGTAAAGAGAACCAACTTGTTTGTGATGTAGACCCCTTCCTGCAATAATATCTGAAAATGAAAATGGATAGTTGATTAGGTGGAAATGAATTGATTAGGAGAAATTCAGAAGTACCAAGCAGTTCCCTAAACATAAATCTAGTCTAATGTTTATAAAACAAAAAAAAAAAGTTTGGAAAGAAGAGTCAAGACATAGGAAATACGCAATACCCACTACTGCAAGAAACTTTTCTAATCGTGCTTGGGCAGTAATATCCAGCAGGGCAGAATATTTCACCGCTACTAACAACATCAGCCCATCTATCTGCACCACCACAAGAATGGTTTGTCTGTCCAGGAGGGGCCTCGTATTTGTACCTAACAAAATTGTAGCGTTCATAAATCGTTCTGTATTATCAAAGAGGAAAAAACAACTTTGTAGCAAGTAAAATTAACTTACGGGCCACAAACACCAGTGGATTTATCTAGCATTGCGCGTGGGCAGTAGGCGCCTAAGGGACAAGCTTCATTGAATTTAAAGAAAAGAAAAATAATATGTCAGCAACTGCTGCATAAATTCAATAAACTGGTGGTAGCAACCGGGCTAACAGAACAGCGAGAAAAACAAAGTTGTGACAATGACAAACCAAAAGCTTCAGTTTACCAACCTATATTAAATTAATGGTTCAGAGTACCATTATAAGAAATTGACTCCCAAGATAATATGTACTGTATGATTCACCCTCAACGAAAAAGACTGGAACAGATACATAATGAGAAAATAGTCTTAGTGCTCACAGAAGTATGGATTGTTGTACAATTAATCTTCTTGAAATTTTTTCATGGTAACTAAATCATTCAAGTTCCTAAGTAGCGCAAGTGATGAAGGACATCTTCCACTCTAATCCTAATATAAGTAAATAAAGTGATAAATAAAACTCAAGCAATCAAAACTTTGAATTTAAAGACAACCAATTAAAACAATCAATCATGTTATTAGCTTAAAAGAATAAAGAACTCATTCCATATAATAATTCAACAATCGTCGAGTTAGAAATTCAGGAGAATTTTGAAATTGTAAAAATCATTCTTCAATCAGCAATCACGCAACATTAAAAAATCTCGTAGCAATTGACTAAAATTAATCACTTGCAACAATTGATGCAGCGCATCATTGGAGCCGGGACCACTTACCGTTAGCTTGCAGCTCCCACCTCCACCTTTTGCTCTATTCGGTTATGGCCAGTACTAGTTTACCTTTTGGGCTGTTAGTCCTCCTATAGTATTTCTTACTTAATATTTTATTTGAGTATTTTAGCTACAGGTTTTATATACCCTGAGATGCTGCGGGAGAAAGGCAGCCTTGTCTTTACACCAAAGTTATTTTCTTCAATAGAAAACCATCCCAGGCTCATCACCGCCTGGGGTCTTACTGTTCCATTGGTTGCCCTTTGTTTTTCTAGTTTTTCTTGCAGGGCTTCGCGGAAGCCTTCTCGACGGACGACGATCTCGGGTTGCATCAACAATCAATCTCAATTTATGTACATAAAAAAGAACAAGATAACAAATAACCAAATAAGGAAATTTAGACAACACACTACATGCATACACACTTACACTGAACCCCTAACCCCAAACCCAGAAGTATATTAAGCAAGAACACCAAGCAGCATATAAGATAACTGGGAAATGAATTTCAAGTGGAAAGATAAGTAAAAGAATAAGATGTGAATGAGTAACGAGCAAGAAGGCCCCAATCTAATGCAAAACACTTTGCAATGAGAGATGACAGTATATTAGCAATGCAGACTCTAGAAGTCAGAAAGTAAAAAAAAAATTATAATTTTCATATTAAGAATGTTGCATACATACGTATCATGCAGGTAATACCACGAGGGCAGAAGAAGCCCTCACAACAAGGAAGACAGTTTTGGGTTCTAGAAGGCATGTTATTAGCATCTGTAAGCTGGACTTTTTGGTCTTCTCCAGCACCACACGCCCATCCAGGCTCACATCCAGAAACCCAAGTAGTTATATTGCAGTTTCTGTTAGGCCTCAAGAAACTACTGTTTCCTCCATTAATTAAAAAACTGCTGAAATAGAACTTTATTTCTGCTGCTGTGCAGAGTCGTCGCCTGATATCCCCTGTTAATTCAATTTATTCTGAATGAGATACTAAGTTTGCAATGTCTGCATCTGTAAATGAGCACTAAAAAAGACTTGTGGCGCTAAGAAGCTTCATATGCGAGAAGCTGCTATCAGATAAACAAGAATAAACTCAGAAAAGAATGCAAATTGACCTAAAGTCCAAGCATTTGTGATAAACCAACATTGAGAAATATGTAATCAGGTAATATCAAATAGTTTAGAGTACATTTGTTCCACGTTGAAGCTACAATCAATCATCAAACAACAAGCTGAAGAATAAAAACAGACTAAGTGTTGGCCCTAGCGTAAGTAATAAGTTTCACATTGTGAGCATCTTTAAATAATCTCCGTTTCAGACACCCAACAATTTGGAGTCTTCTTCATATAAACAATTCTTTGGACATATTCTATGGCTTCTATTAAGACGTGAGGTTATGAGTTTGGTCCCATATTGAATTGTGGAAGAATATATCATTGATAAAAACCAAGAGGCAGACCCTCAGCCAAAAGCCAAAAGTTTTTGGGTTGAAAACTGATCTGCCCATTGGTGTTTCAAGCTCTACTTTGTGCCTTTTTGGTTCTACACTTTCTAAAAAGCAAAATTAAAGATGATGGTTCCAAAATGATCAAGTGGTTCATGTGTTTGAGGCTTCCATAGATCACAGACCATTCTACTATAGTTGAGCAAGTTAGAGGGTATCTCCAATGATGCCTTAAATGTTGTTGGATGGGCTATTGGCGCATGATACATGATAATGATTAAAAGCTTTTGTTTGAGCAAGAGTGATGCCTAATGTGGAGAGCTCTCGTGTGAGTGGAGATTGTTAAGGAACGTGAGGCTATGAGTATAGTCTCATATCAGATTATTGAAAAATATATTAGTGTTGGGGGGCAAATGAGCTGAGCCGGCTGAAACTCGACTCTTTAGCGAGCTCGCTAGTCAAGCTTATCGATCCACGAACTCGAGTTCGAGCTCGAACTCATAATAAAATTTATTATTTAATTTTATACATTAAATAAAAATATGAATTTAAGATAGTTGTATAGTTTTCAAATTTTCAACCATCTTTCAGCAATAAATGTGTCTAGATTTTTTTATTAGACATTTAGGTCAATTAAGGCAAACTCACACACACATCACATATGCAAAACTCGAACCCAAGATTTCTTGGTTGGTAGCCAAATCTCCCAACCAATGGACCAAAGTGAGCTGCTGATGAGGACATTCGACAGTGGAGGGTTTATCAGAGATGGGGTCGAAAATCGACGGCCACGATTGCATCCCTTTATTTCTAAGTTATTATTTGTATTTTTATTTATTATTGTATTGTTTTCGATTTTACCCTCGCCTGAGGGAGTAGGCCTTGTGATCCTTGAGGGGCACTTTTGTCTTTTGATGTTTACTATTGTACTTGGCTATTTATGCCCCTTTTCTCTTTTTGAGAGGGGAGGATGATTATTATGAGATTTCTTTTTCCACTTGTGTTCATAGAGAGCTTGTGAGCTTATGTGAGAGTCAAAGTCCCTAGGTGAGGGCAACGGAATACCCACCAGCCGCAAGAAGCGTCCGGGCTCGTGGTCTTCTTCCTCCACCATCTTATTCCTCCTATTCTCTAACCGGCCCTCTCCTTCCTCCTCTAAGTCGCTAGCCTCACCACAACTCCACCCAAAATCAGCCCCACCACCATACCCGAGCACCTCTCATAACCGTTGGCCTCTTCCTCCCTGCCCTAGCCGCTAGCCTCCACCTCTAAACCCTAGCCGCCGGCCACCATTTCCCCCATCCTGAGATCCTAAAGTTACCCAAATTTACTACTTTCCTAATTTATCACATTATTAATTTGGAGGGTCTCTAATTCACATTCAAATGAATTTGAATTTCAAACCCTTGCTAATTGATATAAACCTATTTTAGGAAAGCCCCCAATTCTTACAAATCTGAAATAAATTAGGATTTGATTTTAAATCCACATTCATCGTATGTGGACACATTCATCATATGTGGACACCTTTTCTTTTTCCCCCTCATTCCCAATTGGGAGCTCCAATTAAGGAGACAATTAGCAACCCCATCCCCCTTATTCCCTCTCTCTCTCTTTCATTTTAGAGAAATTAAAATCAAGTTCCATAATCATCTTCTCCCTTAAATCTGAATTTAATTTCAGATTTTTCCCTCCTTGATTCAAATACAAGTTCTAAAACTAAATCCTCCCTTTCCCTCCTCTATGGCCGGCCCCTACCTCCACCCTCCACTTTGAATTAGCCTCTCTAACCTCCCTCCCACCTGTACATCAATTATTACAGGTTTTCTCCTTCACCAAGACTGCTAACCTGCATCCGGAAATCATCCTAGTTGCTGTCCATAATTTCTTGTATGCAATAGTTTGTTGTCTTGCTGTCCAGGACGTCCTAGCTCGTTGTCCAGAGCTTCCAACACGTGACAGTTTGTTGTCCCGCCGTCCAAAGCTTGTCTAGTTCGTTGTCTCGACTTTCGGGAACTGTTCGATCATCATCCAAACATCCAGAATTGTTGTACTGCTTCCTAAAGCATGTGGGAAGGGTTGTGTAGCCATTTCTCCGCATAAGCAACCAAACGACTTTGCCAGAGCTTCGAATCTTCTTCCTTGTTGGTAAACTCTTTCCCTTCCTTGTACCTTTTAAATCCCCTTCAATTGTGGCATCATAAATATTGTGTTAACTTTCTCCGCAAGCCAATTTATTAGAGTGTGAGTGAGTGGACCCAACTAGTGACTTGTCTAAATGTTATTTTAAGGATTTCCTTTAAAAATCCCCCATGTTATGCTAAGCTTGATTGAATTGGTTAAATGTAAGGGATCTATACATACATAAATAATTAAATATGTAAATGGATATGAGTTGAAAATGATGAATAACTGATAAGTCATATTGATGTGCGATAATACCTAGCATAATTGTATGAGAATATTTTAATGAAATTGCATTAGTGATACTTTCACATATATATTTGTAATATCATTATACAAAAATAAATTGTATGAACTATGACATTATATTTTTGCATTGATACATTAATTATTTGATATTATGTAATCATTCTTATCCTTTTCTAGTTGTTCATACTTCATGCTCCATCACCTTGCCGTTTATACTTTAATAAATAGAAGTTTCTAGTTGGTTTTGATTCTCAAACTCGCTCGTTATTAACTTTTCGTATAACAAATCCTATCGAAGTGTTAGATGGACCATCAACAAAGAGCAGAGTTGCCAGCATTAGAATATATTTATTATTTTATTTATTTATTTTTTGTAATAAGTCATTCATATGTTCTTTTTGAAGATTTGGTAGCTTTATTTCAGTAATTGCTTCTTTCAATTTTCTTTTCATACATTGTTGTTCTCATATTATTATTGTACTATGATTTTGATTTATGATAATGAAATAAAATTTTATTTTCATTGTTGTTGTTTGCTCTGATATATTCTATTATATTACTTGCACATGAAATTTCTTCTTTTGAGTATATAATGGGTTCTATTTATCGATTCATCACGTCCCGTGTTGCCAAGGTGAACCACCTTCCAAACCTGGGATGTGATAGTTTGCTCATGCGAGAGTCACAAAGGGTGTAGATGAAAGGGAAGGATGTACTAGCGGCGAAGGCAATAAGCTCAAGTGAGCTTACATCCATATAACATCATGGTAACCTAAGTGCCTAGCCGGGGTTGTGGAAGGGACCGGCAGTGTACAGAGAAGCAGGAGGAAGAAGTATATTAATTAAAATTTTTATTGAAACTTTATACGCACAAACCGCAAAACTATTAAAGCATTGTTCCTATTTCACCAATTGGACAAACCGCAAACTACAGAAATTTTAACCAACAGGTGTCTCCCACATATATGGCAGGATCATACCGTTTATCTCCTTGATACAATTTCCCACAAAACCTAGATCCGCTGAGAAGTTGAACGCTCCATTCCAGTCCATCACTCTGAAAAAAAAGCATTTCTGGCATCAGTCCCCGGCTCGATAAACCCTAGCGGGAAATAACAAGGATTGGCATTCGTACGGATCATCGATGCAGAACCCAAGGTGCTGGATCATCTCCGCGGCTAAGCTCTCGCTGTAGATCATGAATTGGTCATGCAAGACCTGAGAGAAGTTGGGCGCCGCCGTCATTGACCCATTGCCCAGTCCCACTCCGACGGCATCGTCCTGGCATCGGCCGGCTGATGAGCAGAAGATGAGAACGTTGGCGACGAAGACGGCGACAGCAAGTCGACAAACCGCCGGCATTTTGAGCTCATTAGACTTCTACGGATCACACGCGCTGCTCAGAGTGATGAAGCATTCAGGCGGCCGTCTTATCCCGCGATTGACGCCGATGAGGGGAGAGGGAGGGGTGAGAAGGATAAGATGACGCGTATAGAAGCAAAGGGAGGGGAGCGGAGGAGAGGAGAGGAGGGGAGAGATTGCCGGCGAGAAGAGAGGAAGGAGTGGCATTTCCAAAACTCTTGAGTGCTAATGGTGGGAGAATCGTTACGCGGCATTCCATTGCCGATAACGAGCACGGCGCTCAGAACCTATACTTCCTATATTTATGGGAAAAAGGAAAGTCGCACAGAGAGATTCAGAGGGTGGTTAATGAGAAAACTCTATCCTTTGGATTTATTTTAATTTTTATTTTCTCAAATATAAAGGTCTATTATATTTATATATAAAAGATAAGTTTTGTATTAAGGAATGTTTGATTATTTAAAAAAAGAGATAAATATATTTCAAATAAGGGAAATCATATTTTGGTATATATATATTGGATATTTGGTTTGCTAAAATAATCAATAAAGTGTAATTTTTTAGTGAATTCACTTCTCACTCTAGTTTATTTTATGTATGGTAAATAAGATTAATTTTAACCTAATTCTCTTTTCACCAAGAGGTGACTATGGCTTCATTTTGGACGGCTTTCTTACTGTTTTTTGAAGAAGCTTTCTAGTATAAAAAATTTAATTTTTGTAATAGAGAGCTGCTTCAAGAAGCAGTAAAAAAACCGTCCCAAACAAGGCCTTTATTTTGTAAGCTGACTGCATTATTGTTGCCCACTACCTGCCACTATTCATTGCCATTGACAATTCTCAGAACCAGTTGCCACCTACTGTCATAGTCGCCGACCACTTACAACCTCTTTCTAGCCACCGTCGCTTACCACTACTATCATTTGGCTTTAAATTGCATTTATTTTACTTGAAGTAAAATATAAATAAATAAATATTATCTAGTAGCAATAATTATGATTGATTCTAAAAGATTATTTGGTTGGTGAAAAATGAATGCAGAGTAAAATTTTGACAAATTTTTATTTCACTCTGTAGTTTACTTTTGGCATATTATAAACTCGTTCAATTTTAATTGAATTTTATGATATAATGTAAGCTTACTCCGCTACCTCCTCACATATTATATGGCTTCATAAGCCAAATACTGTAGTGATACTACATATCTAGTTATAATGCACTCCGCTGCCACCTAACATCTTTAGAGCGCATTAAGATAATGAAACTAATATACAAAAAGAAAAAAAAATGTATATGAATGTAAATACAAGAGTTCGCTGACTTATAATACTAGTTGAGAAAGTAATATGCCCGAGCACTAAAAATGAAAGAAAAAATGAAAAGAAAATAAAAATGAAAATATTTGTTCCTTAATTGGGTCAACATTAAATGAAACTTTGGAAATAAATGATGCACTAAAAGTTATAATATAATAAATGTTGTATCAAAGAATATTTCATGAAGAGTAAAATATTAAGTTGTTCAAGAGCTTTAATAAGGTTCCAAGATGTTTGAACAAGCTAGCTATAACATGTTCTAATTTATGGAATGATGATATATACTATGAAGACTCATCAAATAGATTGATGATTTTTAAAAATAATTGATAAGGGCCATTCTAAAAAAAATAGTACAGGGCCATTCTAAGGACTATTTACATATCTAACACTTAAGACTTTAATATTACATTTCTATAATTCATGTAAAATTTTAATATCATATCACTCATACCATACTATAAAGTTTAATATTTTACTTCATGCATCCATATTTGTTCTGTGGCAGATAAGCATGAAATATTAAAGTTTTAGGTGCTAGATATATAAATAGAATGAAATATAGTGGTACATATGTAAATCCCCCACTTATATATGTATTTATACATACATTTTAAATTATAATTAATTGCATGATAATATTAATTTATTCTGCAAGACCCATATTAAACTTAAAAATATGTAATTTTTTTAAATCTAGAAATGCAAAAATAAAAAAAAAAATATTTCATCTATTAACATATCATGGTGAGCCGGCTGTAATAAAATCTTATTAAAATTTGTGAATGTTGACTAAATTAATAAATCATATTTAACGTTTAGGCTGCATCATGTGATGGCTTTTGCGTTGGCGTTTTCCCACTGATAAATTATGAAAAATGGCGGATTCATATTAAATTTATTACAAAAGTACAATTTTGACCTCAGTGTTTTACCTAATTTTCAAAATACCCTATTTCTTTCTCTTTCAGACGCACACGGGAAAGCTTGCCTTTGCCAGATAGAGTGGAGATATTGAAATAAATAATGGCCACGAAGTAAATATTAATGATTTGTTTTGGATAATTTTCTTTCATTTTCATTCTTATCCGCTGCAATTAAATGTTTTCATTTTTAGTTATTTTTTTATAATTTAGTTTATTTGGATGAGTTAGAATATAAAAATAGCTATTATATTCTTATTAAATAGAAAAATTCATAAAAAGCATACAAAATTTAATTTTAAAATTTTATGATGATTTTATAACTATTTTCACATATTGTTATATTCTCTTCAAATGGATCTTCAGTTTTAAGAGAGATTATTACGAGAGTGGACATAGAAAGTCGTTCAGGTTTATCTCTGTAAATAATAAAGCACAGTGATGAACAATAAAAACAGACTTCTCAATTTTCAGAGAGATTACCACCTGTATAGACTGGACATAGAAAATTATTCAATTTTGTCTCCGTGAACAATAAAAACACAAGTATTTTTATTATTCACAGAGATAAATCGGATCACATAATAATTTCTATAATTTTAATAATTTAAAAAATTATCATTATTTTTACTTTTAAGAATTTAAAGTTTATTAAAATTTAATAATTTTAATAAAAAATTAATCATTCAATTATATAATCTCAGATTCATACATTAAAAAAGAAGTCTTTAAATTTCTTAAATATTAAATTTCAGTATATTTTAACCTAAAAAAAATAAATATTTGTTATTTAATAAAAAATGCAATGATATTTTCAATAATAAATAATAAATTAAAGAGAATTATTATATTTTTTTGAACTATTGAAATCGTGTATTCATATGGAATTTGATAAAAACTAAAAATATAGAATTGAAACTTATTAGGAATTGTAATATTTGAGTAAAAATAAAAAATGATTAAGATTTAAATATAATGTTTTTATGTAATTATCCCTAATCTAAGGGGGAATCTGAAATTATGAAAGCTAGGAGTTTTAAAGCCTTGGTTAACTGAGTCGACTTTTGGAGCCAGGGAAGATCTTCCGCTCTTCCTTTTACACCTATGCTTCCCACGCTTCTTTTATATAATTCTCCAAAGCTTAGGTGTTCTATGTGGTTGGTCAGAATCCCAGCTGCCCCCTTTTAATCCTCTTGACTTTCCTGTTCACATAAATGGGAACCTCGTTGCCCATGATTTACTTAATCGCTTTTTTCAGACGTTTAACTGTCGAAGAATCCCTCTCACGAAGGCCGAACCTTCTTCATCTTCTCCGAATCAATCTATCCTAAAAAGTAAGTTTTGATTGTTTTGTATACTTTTCTTTTTTGAAAGGAAAAGGAGCCGTTGGGTGTTAGAATGAGTTGGCAGAGAATCTGAGGGAGAATGGCCCAGCAGGCGGAGATTGATTTAAGAGAAGTTTGTTTAGGTTTTCGGTTGAAATTGTTTAATGAGTTGAAGAGAAAGATGGTGTTTTTAGTTAGTTTTTGGGATTTTTGGTGTGTTTCTTTCTTCTTCAGTGAAGTCTTGTAGTATTTTGATGAGGATTGATTTTTAATTTTTATAGAATTTTTGCAGGCAACACAGCAAAGGATCATGTCTTGGAATGAAGTAGGTGGAAATTCTCATTCTCTTGCTTGTTATTTTATTAGGGAAGTTGAAGTTTATTTTAAATTGATTAATTTTCTAAATTCCGTTATTTTGTTGGGTATACTTAGAAATCAAAATTTCTCAGAGGTGAGGATTTCTAGTCGAGTAAAAATAAAATCATCAATATTTGAAACATGTTTTTTATCTACAAGCAACGAAATGATCTCTGAAGGAGGTATTGTGTATCATTTGCTAGAAATGTTTAAGTTGTGGAGGCTAATTTTTGTCAGAAAAAAGAAAGCGTCTACACAAACTTAACTTAATTGCAAGTCAACCTTTGTGGTAAGGTGGACGCTAGAATTGGGAGAGATAATTAAGATTTGCCTCCGGATTGTCCGGAGGCAAATCCGGACGCGCTACTTCACCTGGATGCACTGGGGCCCAGGTTACGTGGCGCATCCGGATTCGCCTCTGGACGAATGCGGATGTTGCACGTAATAATTTTCCCTAGAATTGGTAGAGGGGTGGGGAGCCCCCTCTCGGGGGTTTTGGGGTAGAACCCTCAAGTGAATTATGTAGCAGTGATAACATGACATAATCATCAATTTGGTGAACTTAGTATAAAATTCTTATGTATTTTTCTGGTTTGATCTTCTTTTCTGTTTTCTTTCTTTTTTTTTTTTTTTTTTTTTTTTTTTTTTTTGCTTTCTATATTTGAAGTAGGTCTGGCATATTTCCCAAGAAGAAGTTGCTATTACTTCTGAGTACATTTATTCACTATTTACTGATAGGTAGAATTTTGAGATTGCATTTCAAACTGGGACAATGAAGTGTTTCCAATTCTCAAATGGAGAGGGGAAGCAAAATCCCCCAATGAAGAAGTCTGCATCAGGTCTTTCAAGCAGCACCACATCAACTGATCATGAAATGAAGAAATCAGGATCTGAATTGAACTCCAGAAATGTTTCTAGCTTGAGTTCAGAATCTGTTGAGAGACCTCCTTTTCCTAGTTTGCATCAGAAGCCAAATAATCTTAGAAAATTCACTTTTGAAGAACTAAAAGTTGCTACTAGAAATTTCAGCCGCTCATTGATGCTTGGAGAAGGTGGTTTTGGATGCGTATATAGGGGCATAGTGAAGGGTCATGAGGATCCATACGCAACCATTGAAATTGCTGTTAAACAATTAAGCCGCAAGGGCTTGCAGGCAAGACTACTTTAACAAGATTTTTCTCTTTTTCACTTCCGATTCTGTAATTTTGAAGAAAATTCTGTCATTCATTTGAGTTTAGTTACTACTGTAATTCCATCTGTTGGAACTTTATAAAACAAGAGTGGCATTTAGAACTTTATAAAACTAGAATGCCACTTGTAGCAGCCACCGTTGGCTACCATCACCGTATTATGCAATATTAATAAAAACAAAAACTACACTTATATAGAATATAAAACATATTTTTAATCACATATTAACGAATAAGTAAAACAAAATGAAAAACATAAACAATAATTAAATGTAGAAAATGATTCCAAATGGCCCCTTTTAGGTATTTGTTCATTAATTAAGATTAGAATGTTGTATTATAATTGAATGAAATTCATCATCATTTTTATTTCAGTCATAAATGAAGTCATATTTATGTTATAATAGTTTTTATCAAACTTAGACAAGTGTTACAGCATTTTGAACATCAATATAGACATTCAACCAAACACTCTTCGATTTTATTTGATAGAACAATGTAGCACAAGAAAACATTGGCAATGGAGCCTATGCTAATATATTTTTTGACTGCTATAAAATCTGAGTATGCATAACTCTGGTAGCGCTTATATCATATTGAATGCCCGAGTGGCCCAAAGCATATATAGTTATAAAGTACTCCTTAATAAGTGTTTTAATTCCTTTGAAGATTTTATGCCTCGCTTGAGTTTAGCAAATGGGAAAAAGATACATGTACATTGATATACTCTATTCTAGTTTACTTATCCAAAGATTGAAACGATGCAAACAATTTTAACATTTTTTCCATGCATACTTGATGAAACTCCTGCAATTTTAACATTTTATCTGCAATGCTTTATGGTGCAAAATGTTGGCCATCAAAAGAGAAGAATAATATTAAGTTAAGTGTTGCAGAGATGAGGATGCTCAGGTGGATGCATGCGTTTACTTTCAGAGGCATGATACGAAATTAGCATATGCGTGAAAAGGTTGGAGTAGCTCTAGTGGAAGACAAGATTAGAGAGAGTCGCCTTAGATGGTTTGGTCACATAAAATGGCGGCCATCTGATGACTCGTTTAGGAAAATAGATGTATTAGATTTGACTTATGTTAAGAAAGGTAGAGGTAAGACTAAAAATATTTGGTCAGAAAATATTAGAAATGACCTTTCTTTATTAGATTTAAACGAGAATTTAACTTTTAACAAGGCACAATGGAGAAAAATGATTCATGTAGCCAACCCCATATAGTGAGATAAAGGCTTGATGTTGTTGTTGTTGTATCCTTGATGGAACTTCAGTTTAGTTCTTGGATATATTCCTTTTTCTAGGTTAAAATACTTTGTTAGTGATTTTTATTGTGTTTTAGAACAATGAGGATAAGATTTTTAGAATTAAGGACGGGTGATTAAAATGAAGATGTGCTTTTATAATATTATGTGGTGACAGAATATTTATAGAGACTTAAAAGTTAAAATTACAAAATTGCAATTCAATTTGCCTATGATGCATGGTTCAAAGTGTTGGACTCTAAAATGTTCATTAATTGTTAAGTTGAGTGTGGTGGAAAATATAATGCTAATAAGAAAATGCGGCATAACTAAGAAGGAAATAAGAAACAATTATATTCAAAAAGTATTTAGAATTTTATCTATTTAAGATAAGGTAGTTGAAAAAAAATATATTTATTTGATTTAAATGCATACAATGATGAATCGAAAATACACTATTTGATGCATAGATAAAATTAGCACCGAAGGACTAGAAAGAAAAAAATAGAAGATCTCACATAACATGTCTGGGCATGTATTATAATTGCATGCATGCTTGTTCCTCTTGAGATTTGACCTTGTTCAAGAGAATTTGTTAAATCACCTTGAATGCTCTTCCACAAGTTCATTGAATGAAACTTTGGGTTTCTCTACAGGGCTATAGCTGCAGTAGACTTGGAACACTTCAACTTTCTAGTTTATTGTAAATATTTAGATGAACTTTTCCAGATTTAATGTTCATTGTTAATTGCTCTCTTCCTATCTCTAGAAACTTATGAAAAATAAAATTTATTAAATCGAGATAATGAATTTATCTAATGAAGTTTCCTTCATTGCATTTCCAGGGACATAAGGAATGGTTGACTGAGGTAAATGTTTTAGGAGTGGTTGAGCATCAAAATCTTGTCAGATTAGTTGGCTATTGTGCTGAAGATGATGAAAGAGGAATTCAGAGGCTGCTTGTTTATGAATATATGCCAAATAGAAGTGTAGAATATCACTTGTCACTAAGAATTTCTGCTCCTCTTTCATGGTCCATGAGGTTGAAAATAGCTCTCGATGCAGCTCGTGGTTTGACATACTTGCATGAAGGGATGGATTTTCAGGTACATTCTTTTCTTTTCCACAAGTTTATTTATCTAAATGGTTCTTCAACGCTGACTACTTAATATTTTAATGTTATAAAATGTCTTTAGGGGAAGCAAAATAAGAGTCATCTCTTACCTGAGAGCATTTATTCCATTTATTCCATTTATGTCAATTGATTTTATTTGCAGAAGTAACTATAATCTGTCACTTTAGTTATGAGATTGAGCTAATTGGCGGCTAATTCTTTTTATTCCCACATATTCTCTATGGATGTTCTAAATTGAAATGGTTGGATCCAATGATGTTCTTAGAAATATACAAAGAATTTGCAGTGAAGTAATTCAGAGAAAAGAGATTACTATGAGAATCCTAAAACGATTAAGTGCGATACTGTAGTGATAAGAGTTTAGACTCAGATTTCATATGGCCTTGCTAAACTAGTGACCCCCTATCTATGTGCAAGGTTTAAGATCGTTGTTACAAAATTAGCTCTATGATATAATTATATGAAATATACAAAGGTTGGATTAGGCATCCCTAGTTGTGTAGCCGCTGAGTTGGACTTGTAATCGGGCACTTTAGCCGAGTTTTGGATCGAACGTGAGTACCTTTACTGAGTTCTTCAAGCTAGATCTTCTATTCGGTTGAGTCTTTGGGTGAATTGCCTTGATTGATACGCAATTTTGTGAGTCTCTTGGACGAGTTTACTAGCTCAGTACCAGCTCAGTACCGAGGCTCGGTTAAGGCTAGTGCTTAGGTGAATTGGTGAGATTTGTTTCTAGGCTTCTTGTGGCTTTGGGCAACTTCAGGCTTTGCTAGTGTTGACTTATCTAGGCGAATATTGGTGTATATAAATAACTAATGCCTTTGTCTAAAGGTGGTCAAAATTTATTAATTGCTTTGTTTGGAAGGAATGCTATGATGGAGAATATGTGATTCCCGATATGTTTCTAAATGACAAATCAGAAAAAGATTTCATGTGGAAGCTTTAAATGGACCTTTTGAACTCCCCTCTGCATTCATTTTTACCTTTTTTTTTTTCCTATTCCTTTCAATATGAAATGCATTTTTTTCCAAACATGTAATATTCATAAATGTTGTTTTTAATGACTCTTCTTATTGATGATGTATTGATAGATTATTTTTCGAGATTTCAAGACATCCAACATTTTATTGGATGAGCACTGGACTGCAAAACTATCAGACTTTGGCTTGGCAAGACAGGGACCAACAGAAGGATTAAGTCATGTTTCAACCGTGGTGAGTACAGTTAAAATGATATGTGACAATAGTTGAATATTATCTTGGCAATGTTACATATTATATGTAGGCATTACTTTTTGATTTTTGCAATGCTTTTTATTTTATTTGGAGATGATTGGTAAATTAGATTTGCATGTTTCTTTTCATTTTTGGTAAATCTTAGAGTTAACTTTTCCTAAGACTTTTAGCTTTGTCATTGTTGACTAAGGCTTCGTTTGGAACAACTTTCTTACTGGTTTGTAAAGCAGCTTTCTAGTACAAAAATTTCTAGATCAAGATTTTTTTTACTAGAAAGTCATTTTAAAAAGCAATGAGAAAGCTGTCCCAAACAAAGCCTAAATTGCTAAATGGTTGGATCATGTTTGGTTGGCCTTGATCCTTACAACTTTACTGCACTACCTTTGTATTTTGTTAGTCTGAGATGCAACTTAGCTGAACGTATTAACATCCTTTTGGCTGTGTTTGGATGCTAATAATTTGAGTAAAGGAAATGGAAAACAAGCTTTAAAGCTCAAATCAATTGAGATTTCATTTCATTTCCTTCACTTTCCTGCACCTTCCTTCAATCCAACAAAGCATCAAGAAATAGCCACAATTTAATGCCTACATGTCTTATTAATGCTCATATTGGCCACAGGACATATAGCTTTTGAAGTTCAATTATCTTAAATTCTTTGCAAGTTCATACTGGTCATTCTTTATCTTCAGTTCTGCTTATCACAACTTCCTGAACATTGAAATTTCTTATGAAATGAATGAAGCAAAATGTTCATCACAAAGTCGCAAAATTCCCAGAAATTTCCAAATTGCTCATTACTTCACAATTTGAATCTACAATCATTCTATTTCATGAACATTGGATTAACAGAAAATGCTTAGGATTCTTCAGAAGCTTAATGAAGTAAGAAATAATATGGAGACAAATTATTCAAAGAAAACTTGTTACTGTTACAGGTAGTTTGAAGTGAATCTGATTCATCCAATAATTAATCTAACAGGTGGTTGGTACGGTCGGCTATGCTGCTCCCGAGTATATTCAGACCGGTCGTCTCACCACGAAGAGCGACATTTGGAGCTATGGTGTGGTTCTCTATGAACTCATAACTGGCCGCCGTCCTATGGATCGAAATCGGCCCAAGGGTGAACAAAACCTCTTGGAATGGGTCAAGCCATACATGGCTGATGCAAAGAAGTTCCACTTGATTACAGACCCGAGAATGGGAGCAAACTTCTCAATAAAGTCTGCAATGAAGCTTGCTGCAGTGGCCAATAAGTGCCTTATCAGACAGCCTAAGTTGAGGCCAAAGATGAGTGAGGTGCTCCAAATGGTGCAGAGTATTGTTGACGATCAAGAGTCTGAAGCTCCTCCTCAAACGCCCATAAGTACACCATATGAGAAGGCATCAGAGCGGAGGAAGAGCAGAGGAGCTGAGTCGAAGATTAGGATAGGAGATCTGAAAATGTTATGGCGTGAATGGGCGCCAAAGCTTGTTAGAGCTCATTGAGGCCATCATAGATAAAATTATGCTTGTGTGAATATGCTCTTGAGATACAGTTCTTGATAAGGAACTTATGGGTACTCTTAATAAGGTTAAGGTTGGTGTCCATTGAGAGACCTATGAACTTCTTATATGTCAAGATTAATGCATCTACAAGCAGAAGTCTTTAAGAGTTGATCCGAGTTCAACTTTTTCTTTACATCCATCAACATTGCAGTTTGCAGAGACCGGAGAGCCTGTAAATGGAAAGGTACAGATCCTGCATGAGATAGGTAAATATATATAAAACCTTGCTTGAATAAAAATTTTGGGGTCATTTAGGTTTCGTTTGGGGGAATGATTATTCTGTGCGGACACCGGACGCAGCTTACCGTCCAGAGGCGAATCAAGTGCAGCCACATCATCCATTACCGATCAGTACCGATCGAGCCGCGATACCAAGTAGGGGGTGACGTGGTGCATTTTCATTGGGCTCTGGACCACATTCGGCATCCGCACAGAATAATTTCACTCATTTGGGACAGTTTTCTAAATGCTTCTTTAAGCAGCTTTCTAGTACCAAAAATTAATTTTTATATTATAAAGTTGTTTTAAGAAGCAAGAAGAAAGCTGTACCAAACGAAGCATTAGTCTACTTAATCAAATGAGCTAGTCCAATAATTTGACCAAAGGATCCATGATGATGAGAAATTATTTCGTGAGGAGACCGGACACAGAACGTAGTTTGGAGACCAACTGCCACGTCAGCTGTACCAGCAGCGGTATCGAGCACAGGGTGACGTGGCGCATTATGGTTGATCTTCGGACGGGATTCAGTATCCGCACAAAATAATTAATATCTAAATAATAGCTATGGGTTGTTTCTTCCAAATATATTTTATAAACCTAATGTGTTGCATCTAACAAGTATGATTCATCAATATTATAAATGGAATAATTTTATAAGAATTATTTGATATAGATATCAATATTATGAATGGAATTAATTGAATTGATTTATAAATGTTATAAATTAATTGATTAGTACAAATTTTAAATGCTAAATTATGATTACATTTATAAGATAAAAATTTTTCCAAAAGTGAATTACAAGTAGAGCTCCATAAAACATCAATTAGGAATACATGCATGCATTGTGAGCAATAGTGGCTGTTGTAAAGAGAGAAAAAAATCCATTGTGGGTAAACAATTAATTTCTTTTTCTTCTTCTTTTATGAATTATTAATTTATTCATACATTATTGTTCTTTTCTACAAATAATTAAATTCAGATAGTTTCTTTTGAATATCAAGGCAAGAACAAATTGTGGGATTGAAAATTTTAATTACTTTGGCTTGACATATCTTTAAAATGTTCCTATATGAAAGAGCCAATTAAATCATATAATTTTTATTTATAAATATTTCACAATTGACCATTCTCTTTTAATTATCTTTAGAATATAAACATCTCATAAAGGTTGCCATTAGTTTTTTTTAAATAAAATTAATATTGATACATCATTGAAAACCACCTTGATCGAAAATCTCCTAGATCTGGCCTAAATCTCAATGAATATTTGAGTCGAAAACTTTCAAAAATAACTACAGGTTAATTCATCCTAACTTTGATTTTAGAAAACTGCTAGTATTATTGAACGTTTTGACGAGACAAACCCAATCGTATCAAAAGTGGTCCAAGATGAGTCCAAATGAGACCGGATTGAATACTTGAAGTATAATTAAAAACTTGTGGATATTAATTAGATGATCAAATAATCTCTAGATCTTATATGCTTATAATCAAATCGAGCATCTTGATGAGACGAAGCCAACGAGGCCCACTATGTCTTAATTTCAATAGCATTATCGTACTTACATTTTGAACTAACGCTCTATAATCAAAGGAATCAATAAAGTTCGTTCAATGGAATGTTCTAAATTTTTCTCTATCTTTTTTATGGGTGATGCACCTCTTAAAAATCCGTAAATCGGTGAAGGAACTAGGAGCTTGGACTTGGGCTTGAGATTAGTAGAACTTATAGACCATAAAATCTCGGAGCTCCACTTAAGTACCATTGTCAAGTCACCACTCGATTGTCGAAGTCGAATTCACCGCTTGTTCATCACCATTGGAACACAACCTAACTTTCGTTATTGTAACATTGCTTGACCACCACGTCCGGTATAACATTGCTCAACTGCCATCATTGGAATACTGCTAGAACGTTCTTGTTGGAACACAACCTTATCATTATCATCGGAACACAACTTGATTGTTGTCATTGGAGCACCACTTGACTGCCACTGTCAATAATTTTCCGACTGCCATTGTTAGAACATTTCTTAATAGTCATCATCAGAATACTGACAAACTGCTTTTGTCTAAACACAACTTGATTGCCATCAATGGAACACAACTCGACCACCACCAGCATTGCCAGAAAATAGCCAGATCATTATCTTTTAACACTGCCCCAACTACTAACATCAAAACATCGTCTAACTGCCGCCATTGGACCTATGCTCGGACGTCACCTTAGAACACACTATAGCCTCCCATCAACATCGCCCAACTATAGTGATTTGACAACAATGTCCTGATTATTCTCATTCGACCACCATTACCTTATTATGCTTCTTCGACCACCGTTGCTTGGCTAGGGTCTTCCAACCATCATTGCCCAATTTGGTCATATGAATACATCACATGACTATGATCCTACTACTACTTTTGCACAATTATGATCTGACGATAACACTCGAGTGAAGCTCCAAGATTTTTACAGTTTTTAAGCTCTACTAATCTCAAGCCAAGTCCAAACTTTTAGTCAGGAGGTGAATCCGAACGTGCCATGTCACCCGAGGCCTAGTGCAACCGGGTGATGTGGTGCGTCCGGATTTGTCTCTGGACGGTTCAGACACCGCACGTAATAATCTCTCTATTGAGAGACCTATGAACTTCTTATATATCAAGATTAATGCATCTGCAAGCAGAAGTTTCTAACAACTTGCAACAGTTGTTCCGAGTTCAATTTTTTTCTTTAAATCCATCACCATTGGAAAGGATTTTAACTGCAGAGACCGGAGAGCCTGTAAATGGAAAGCTAGCTACAGATCCTTCCTGCATTATATATATATATATATAACCTTGCTTGAATAAAAATTTAGGGGCTATTTAGGTTTTGTTTGGGACGATTTTTTGAATGTTTCTTAAAGCAGCTTTTAAGTATAAATTTTTTAATTTTTGTATTAAAAAGTTGTTTTAAGAAGCAGGAAGAAAGCCGTCAAAACGAAGCCTTAGTCTACTTAATCAAATGAGCTAGTCAAATAATTTGAACAAAGGATCCAAGATGATGAGAAATTATTTCGTGCGAAGACCGGACGCAAAACACCGTTCAGAGACCAACCAGAATGCTCCACGTCTGTGGCTGACGTGGCACATTCTGATTGATCTCTGGACGACATTCGGCGTCTGCACAGAATAATTAATCCCTATATGATAGATATGAGTTGTTTCGTCCAAATGTATTTTATAGACCTAACGTGTTGCATGTAACAAATATGATTCATCAATATTATAAATGGAATAAATTTATCTGAATTATTTGATATAGATATCAATATTATAAATGGAATAAATTGAATCAATTTATAAATGTTATAAACTAATTGATCACTACAAATTTTAAATGCTAAATTATGATTATATTTATAATATTATTTTTTTTTCCAAAAATGAATTAACATGCATCCATTATTCCATTGTAAACAATAGAGGCTGCGGTAAAAAAGAGAAAAAAAATCTACTAAAACTATATGGTGTTCATCGGTTGTTGATTGAAAGCGGCCACTGGTACAAAAATTTTGGCCTGGTGAATAGAAGAAGAAGAAGAAGGAGGTTTGTGGTCTCAAATAATTATTTTATTCATACATTCTAGTTGTTTTCTATAAATAATTAGATTGAGATAGTTTATGTAGAAAAGTTTAATTTTGTATGAAAATGGATGTTTTGAAGCGATGGATCCCATGCTATTAAGAACATCATGGATGTAGGCTTCGTTTGGGATGATTTTTTTTACTATAAAGTCGCTTTAAGAGCAATAAAAAAGCCGTCCCAAAAGAAGCCTTAATCGCAAACTCATGATGCAACCTAGCTCAAATCTTTTGAATATCAAGGCAAGAACAAAATGTGGGATTGAAAATTTTAATTACTTTCGCTCAACGTATCTTAGAAATCTTTTTATATGAAAGATCCTATTAAATCATACAAATTTTATTTATAAATATTTCACAATGCATCATGTAAGACTTCATGGAGTTCTTAATTTTCTTATTAGGACTTACTCGCATATACGATTCGAGTTCTCGAATTAATACAAGAACTTTCTTTAAGATTAAGTTTACTGACTTTTACAAAAACTTGCAACATGCATTATGAGTTATCTAACTCTTGTAAGAACTCGTATTATAAATTATGTAAAAGGAATCGAAACTAAAAAACTTGAATTTTACATAAGTCTTAAATCCATGAGATCTTTAACAAAATGGTTTTCACAATTTTTTAATCGGAAGAAAACATACCTTGATTCATTTTGAATTCGCTGAATTCTGAACTACGGTTTCTCTCCCTTTTCCTTTTTACTTTCTTCTTTCATGAGTTAATTCTCTATGGAGCAAAGTATCTCCTCATAATGAGAGAGAGAGAGGACTTGTAGTTATTTCCTGCAGATTGATTACAATAACCGCTTATAGGAGTTATTTGATCAAACGGTCCATAAAGATCAAATTATCTCTTCTTGACCAATAGGATTCAAAATTAAATAATTCAAATATATATATGGGCCAGTTAATGGTTTAAATAATTAAATATACATACTTAAAATAATTATTGCGACGTCTCACATAATTATTATATTTAATTATTCTAACACACATTCTCTTTTAATTATCTTTAAAATATAGGCATCTCATAAAGGATGCCATTAGTTTTTTTTTTTAAAATAAAACTAATATTGATATATCATTGAAAATCGCCTTGATTGGGCCTGAATCTCAATGGATATTTGAATCGAAAACTTTCAAAAATAACAACAGGTTCATCCTAACTTTGATTTTAGAAAAACTATTAGTAGAATTGAACGTCTTGACGAGAAAAAATCATTAGTACAAAAACTGGCCAAGTTGAGTCCAAATGAGTTTGAATCAAATACTTGAAGTATAATTAAAAACTTCAGGATATTAATTAGATGGTCAAATAATCTCTAAATCTTATATGCTTATAATTAAATCAAGCATCTCGACGAGACAAAACCATCGAGCCTAATATTTCTTATTTTCAATAGCATTATCGTACTTAAATTTTTAACAAACGCTCTATGATTAAAGGAATCAATAAAGGTCGTTCAATGGAGTGTTCTAGATTGTCTCTATATTTTTACGGATGATGCACCTCTTAAATCTATAAATAGGTCTGGATTCTCTACATGAGAGGGGATTAGGACTTGGACTTGGGCTTGAGATCAGTAGAACTTATAGACTATAAGAATCTCGAAGCTCCACTTAACCGCCATCGTCAAACCACCACTCAATTGCGGATGTTGAATTCACCGCTTGTCCATCACCATTGGAACACAACCTCACCTTCGTTGTTGTAACATCGCTTGACCACCACCATTATACATTGCTCGACTGCCATCATTGGAATATTGTCAAACTGTTCTTGTTAGAACACCACATGATCATTATCATTGGAACACAACTTGATTGTCGTCATTGGAGCACCACTCGATTACCACAATCAATAATTGTCTAAGTGCCATTATTAGAATATCGCTCAATCGCCATCATCAGAATAGTAACAAACTGCTCTTGTTAAAACACAACTTGATTATCATTAATGGAACACAACTCGACCACCGTCACGTGAACATTGCTTGACAACCATTGTCAAAACATAGCCGGGTCATTGTCATTTGAACATCACCCAACTACCAACATCAGAACATCGTCTGACTGCTGCCATTAGACCAACGCTCGAACGTCACCATAGAACACATTGCAACCTCCGATCATCATTGCCCAACTATAGTCTTTTGACCACAATATCCCGATTATGCTCATTCGATCACCATTACCTTATTATGCTTCTTCAACCACTGTCGTTAGGCTAGGATCTTCCGACATCACTGCCCAATTTTGATCTTCTGAATACGTCACACTACTATGATCATACCAGACTATCGCACGATTATAATCTGATGATGGTACTTGAGTGAAGCTTTGAAATTTTGGCGGTCTATAAGCTCTACTAATCTCAAGCCAAATCTAAACTCGTGGTCCTCTATCATGTAAAAAGTCCCATGACAATTTATAAAATTTCAAGAGGGCCGGCTGTTAAGAAAAAAATGTGATTTAGCAATATTATAATTAGTAACCACTAATGACTAACCGCGTCGTTCAACAATTTGTCGCACCCACACCGTCATCCCGTCCGGCCAAACCCAACGGCCACGATCCGCCGTCCTGATCGAATCCGTCGCCCAGGAATGCCGTGTTGAAAAGCTCTGAGGATTCAAAACAAGAAGAGGAACGAGGGACGCGCCGCTTTATCGTTAATCGTCACTGTCAAAGTCCGTGACTCCTCTGTTCGATACATTTTTCTGTCTCTCTCTCCTCGATCGACGTTATCGAGCCCGTTGTTGCTCGCGGCGGACACCCTCTGGCGGATTGCTTCTATTGCAAGTAAGTTCTATGAGACGCGTTGTCGAAACTTCGGCTGTTAGATTCTTACACTTTTGGGAATTTGGGGGTCTTCTCTTGTTTCTTTTTAGGGTTTGTTGGATTGGCTTCGAGAGTTTCTGGATCGTTGTTATATTTATTTGCGTGATCCTGCACTTTTGTGTTTGTAGATTTATTTGTTCGAGTTACCAATGCTCGGAGATTTTTCTGATTCGATTCGTATTTGAGTATTCGGCAGGAATTGTTCGCTTATGTTATGATGTACTTTTTTCCCCCTTCTTTTTTTGCCATAGTCTGTGTTTGGCTATTCAACACTTCGCTTGTGGATGAGAATATATGTTGCTAGCATCTGCGGATCATGCGGTGCATTTGTTAGGAATCCTGGTGTGTTTTTTTTTTTAATATCAGCCTTAATCTGAAAATTTCTTATTGTTTGCTGCTACAGTCCTTTTTGAACGATAAAAAAAGGATAAACTTGACCTGTGGGTGATCCTGGGTACCTGTAAACTCTTAATTGAATATGATTATGGCTGCAAACGAAGCTAGCAGAGTCGAGTAGGCGCTTGTTCATTTTGAGCTTGTTTATTATTAGCTTGTTCAAGCTTGGTTCGTGCTCGATTCGAACTTGTTTGTTTGTGTTCAAGTTTGGTTTGTTTAAAAGAATAGATGTTCGTGTTTGGATGGTTGAGTTCGGGCTCAACACACGACAGTGTAACGAGCTCATCGAGCCGCTTGATTTCCCAATTTCCCGTTCAGTTTCGGATTTCCCGCCCGGTTTTTGTTTTCTCGCCAGGTTTTGAAGGCTGCCTCCTTGGGAAAGATGCAAATCTCCTCATATAATGAATGTTGTCAAACTTTTAAATTTTATATAATTTTTTTTTTAAATTTTACTGCTTTTGTAATGATTAAAGATGCAGCATTAATTTTACTATTTTTTGAAAATCTTATAACAACATTAATGTTGTCGCTTTGGGAAAATTTGATTGTTTCTTAGTGTTTAAACGTCTTTATTTGAACTTACTTTAAACATTAATGCTACTGCTTTAGACTGTTTAACTTAATGTAATAAACAAATTAATAATAAAAAAAATTCAAACAATAATTCGAGCCGGCTTGCGAGCTCACGAGGCGAGTCTCATCGAGCTTGAACTCGACTCTTGAGCTCGATAAGCTCGTCTCGCGAGCCAGCTCAGGTCACTTTTGCGATGCCTATAATCTAAATTGGAAGAATTATTCTTTTAATCTTTTAATAAATAACAATCAGAGCTATCTAATATCATCTATCAATAATAAACAACAAAACATACTCTATAATTCAAAACATTAATGTATATATATATATATTCATTTTCAAAAATTATATACACTACTCAGAATCTACACAATAATATCACAACTACTCTGTCACGAGTACAAAAGAATAAATAGAACAAAAAGAAACAGAACCTAAAAGAATTCCGACCAGCCTCACACTTCTGCTCTCATGTCCTAACCTGAAATCATTTAACAACATATAATGAGCTTAAAAAGCCCAGCAGGTCACAAAAACCTACAACTGAATTTAAAGCACGGTAAATGAGCAATATGCTTGTCAACATTCGAATAATAATAGCTATATACATATGATCATTGAACCAGTGCAAGGATAGTAAAACTCAAATGTAGTAGCAGTAGAATATGTAAATCGTAAAACACTATGGTACAACAACTGGTAAAGTAGTAATCTAGTACGAGTGTCAAATCTATAAATCAGCCATGTCTTCATAATCGGATAAAACATCAAATCAAAACGTCGATAAAGACTGTCAAAATCAAATCAATGCAGTAAAATCATATAAGAGTTGTAGGTGTGGCAAGAGCACTCTCAACTAAGACAAATCAAGCATATTAATAACAATTATTACATCATTCTTCTACTACTCATAGATTGCTTGGGAAGTCAAACTAAATCAAACTCTTGTCATCCTTGACTAAGGAAAAAAATTGTTATAGAACTATGCACTCGTCGTTAATGGGCATTACATAAATGAAATTGGTGAATATTTATTAAGAGAATAAATAATATATGCTCCTTATAAGTTAGATTTCCATTCTAAGCTCACATGATTTCAAGATGGCTACATGCCTTAATAACTTATGTTTAATCTTACAACAATAACTTTGTGCTTAAGCTTCATGAAAGTAGGTCTATATATGCAAGGTTGTGAAAGTAAAATCAGAAATGAAATTAGATGAATGAGATGTTCAATGTTTAATGATCGACTGGGGTTGAATTGTATGATATAATAAATATTAAAATTATTTAAATATGATCTAAATGATGTAAGAATGATGCAATAATATTACAATAATGCAAATATTTGATTAAAAAACATAATTTTAATGACGTAGGAATATTTTTTAGCATCCTAAGAATAATACATAGGGTTTTCTACTTTTCTTCTAAGAACATTAACGTCAACCTCAACCCAAGTCCATTGGAGCAATCTAGCGTTTCCTAATTTCCTCAAAAAATAAAGACCTTCACAAACTATGAAATGCTCAAGGAATGAGAATGCAAATTGTAAGAAGTTTTGTAATATCACAAGACATGAAACTATAAGATGAATTATTGGTAGGCCAGGTTTTTCTCAAATTCATATTTTAAGCATGGTTAGAAATTGCACAATCATGTATTAATGCTTTTTTTTTTTTGTGATGTGAGGCGTAAACTCATAATTAAACCATTAAGTTAATGAAAAATATAAAATAACAAGTACCATACTAACATCAAACTAAGTTATTGAAGTAAGATAATAAAAAATCAAAATAAGACCATTAAAAGTTATACAAGGATGCAACCAATACTAAATAAATAGTCTCTCTCATTCTCAGTTCAACATAAACAAGTAGTCATAATTTATGAATTTAGAATCCCCTACTTTCATCACTTAGAGAATCTTCATTAAAATAATCATTTTAGTTTTTCTGTCCTCCGTCATATTAAAACTAATGAAATAGATTTCCAATAATAAGAGGAGAGATGTTGGAGGAGAAGCGGCAGTGGTGAAGCAGTGATGGCATCATAACATGATCAAGTACAAGTTTAAGGATTTTGCGTTGTGTGATTAGGAGTTTGATGTTGTGCAGTTCTTCTCATGTTTAGTTTGGTTTATGTATAATTTTAGATACCATCTTTCAATATATGCCATCATCATCATCATTATCATCCTTTGAGCACTTAGAAGCTGCAACCATGGATGAAACAGTAGTTGACTATATTGGACGAAGGGAAATGTTGCTAGATGAGAAGTGCTTTTAAAATTTGTATAACTTGTGTGAATGAAATCTTTTGAGTTAATCAAATGAAGATTATGGATACAAAAAATATCTTCTACTTCTATCAGAACCAAAGTTTCATTCAGATTTTATTGATATGTTATGCTTATTCATATTAGTCTCTAAATTTAGTAGAGATAAATTCAAGAGATGATTAGTTTCATAAGCAGAAGAGCAAACCATGAATAACATCCCCAACTTGTTTGAGATTTTTTGGGTGATTGCTATTGATATTCTCATACCATTTTTTACCATTACTAAAAAGCCATTGAATTTGATACAACTTTTGTTTAAAAAAAATTGAGTCAAAGATTTCTATGAGTTTTAATTAAAAAAAAAAGAGCCCAACTAAATGAGTGGTATAAAAAGATTCTAATCTTTGTTTCAATGTCATTTAAGTGCTTTGGGAAAGGTCAAGGTCGCTCTTTCTGATTTTTCATTTGGAAACATAAAACAAAACCAGAGTCTTGCAAAAAAATAGTCTTCCTCAATAGCTTGATGAACTAGCATCTGAATTGAGTTGCTTCCTTTCTATTGATGGAAGCACAAGATTTGGATGTATGTCATTACATCAATGGTAGATTTTGTTTTTCCTGCAATCTCTTGCAAAATGACCTTTTTTCTCAAACATCAACGCAAGTAGGACGATAATGTTTAACCTTCTAATCTTTGAAAGATTTAGTGCGGGAGAAGAAATCAGTGGGATCTGATTTTTCTGTAGATGCATAGAATCTTCTCCCTTCCCTACCAAAAGAAAATGAACGATAACTAACACCCGCAGATAGTTCAACAATCGAGCAGCTCCTACAGTGGTAGCTACAGTAGGCCATTTGATCCGCATGAGTAGAATTGCTTATCAAGTTTGATTTTTTTAGGCTGGGTTTGCCCCCTTTTTATATACCATAAGTAGGATTTATTCATATTATTAACTTTTATTTTGAGAATTGAAAGATTTAAATGCAGTATTTTGCACATTCCATCAGAGAATTAGATGCGGTCTATTTTTTCCAATGCTGTTTTTAAGAAAGACTAATCTTCCTACCTGATGTCTCAGGTTCTTTTCCTCTGTTGATTATATTCAGTTTCTTGGTCACGTCTAAAACTAATGATCATGTATGACCAAGATCCTGATGTTCTTCGATGGGGACTTCATCTTCTTCAAGGTGATTTGTCAAATACTGCATATAGCGAAGCGACAATTCAGAGTGATGCCAACATTTACCAAGCAGAGTACAGCCGTGAAAACAGTGTTGCTATTGATTGCACTATTGTGGAAAATGATGAAATTATTGCTCATGCTCTTCAAGAAGAACTTTCACAAGTTGCACTTGCAGAAGCACGTGGAACATCTCCTGCTGGTGAAGAACATATGCAAGCATCAGTCCTTGCTCAAGATTGGCTTGGTCCAGCAGTGAGAAATTCGAATTCAGGTGTGGAGACTAGCCCAAAGTCTTTATGTCTCATTTATAATGGGAGCATTAAGTTGGTATACTTGTGATTTCATCTAATGACTGTTTTAATTACTTGACAAAGTTGTTATCCCCATTAATTTGAATATAATTCTCTTGTAATGTCAAAAGGAGCATTGCCTTCCTTCTATAAAGGTGTCATGGCTATCATCAACTACGCATCAACATAAAATTCATATTTTATTTAGTTATAATCACATAAAATCTAGAGAAATTTTGTATAGGTATTGTTTTATATGATTAGACCAATCTCCTAACATTTTATCATTTGTGTATAACTTGTGACAAAGTGAGTGTCCTTGTAGAGAATGAGGGTACGGCTGAAGCGGTCAATGCTGTGGAACTGTCTACCTTTTCTTCTAGCCAACTTGAGAATATATCTGAAGGCCAAAGTTGGTCATTGGAACTTACTGATGACTTCTCTTCTCTGGATGGTGAAGTAGGGAAGAGATTGGACAAAATGGTTCCCGTTCCTGTAAGTTTTATTGTGCAATTGTTTTTATTGGTATTCTAGTTTTCCTGAAGAGCCAAAGAACTTGAACGTGTTTTGTGATGAGGGTGATGTTGTTGAGATGTTTTTCACTGTTGAATGTTTTGGGTTTGTAATTTGTTATTATGCGTCATGTTCTAAAAATGCGTAAACTGTTTGTAATTTTCATGTTCGCCTCTTAAGTAAAACCTAAATTGCTTTTCAAGTTTTAAATTATAATTACAATAGTCTAGATAAGGAAAATGAAGAAAGAAATGGAATGAGAAATGGAATTATGATGAGTCTTCCTTGAGCTGATGGACTCCACAAACAGGTTTTGGTTCTATGCAATTTGCGCATCTATGCGCAGCAAGATTTACAGATCACTTATGCAATCATTTTCTATGGCTTTGAATTTCATCTTGTTTGTTCATCCTGCGAGAGCTTTATATTTAGTTATCTTATGAGCGGTTTATGTGCAGCATGTTCCTAGAATTAATGGAGAAATTCCATCTCTTGATGAAGCTACGTCAGACCATGAAAGACTTCTTGAGAGGTTAGTATAGGAATCTGGACGATGATTTCTTCAGAGTCTGCTTTATTTCTTAATTATTTTTTTGTTGTAGGAATATGATTGAATTGTAACAGTAATAGTGGTATTTTATTATTTTGGTATTACTTCTGTATGGCATTCTATACAGGTTGAAGCTATATGAGTTGGTTGAACTAAAGGTTCAAGGAGATGGTAACTGCCAGGTGAGTTTCTTACTTAGGATTTTAGTAGTTAATTTTTTCAATGTTCATGTAGAGGTTAGATGCATGATGGTAACCCTTGTTGATAATACTTGAGGACAAGCTTAACGTTGAGGGAAGCGTTTGACATCTGTGTTTGTTAACTTATCTTTAAGGAGTGCCTTTTTTTTTTTCAATATGAGCAAATATTATTTTTTTGATTTATTATGGTTCGTGGTTTTATGGATATCTTCTATTTATTTTTTCTTGCTATATTCAAGTGTCATGTGAAGGGTTTCTATCATTACAACATCCAATTTCTTACCTAAACCTCCTATATATTACTCAATTATCAGTCATAAAAGCAATCCTATCAATTCTGGAATTCAAGAGTGCACTGTTTAAGACCTACGATTCAATGAAAAAAAAAATGAAAATTTTGCTAGTCAGTGAAGTAGATGCATATACAGGAAAAGGTTGGAGTGGCTCCAGTGGAAGATAAGATTAGAGAGAGTCTCCTTAGATGGTTTGGTCGTATAAAACGGCAATGACCTGGTTAGGAAAGTAGATGTATTAGATTTGACTTATATTAAGAAAAGTAGAGGTAGACCTAAAAAAATTTGGTTGGAAAATATTAGAAATGACATTTCTTTATGAAATTTAGATGAGAATTTGACCCTAAATAGGACACAATGAAGAAAAAATAGGACACAGTGGGATAAAGGCTTGTTTTTGTTGTTGTTGTAGCGAAGAAGATGCATGATAACATAGTTGCATAAAACTGGACCAAGGAGGATATCCTTCCTTATAAGTGATGTACGCAAACAATATTTTTGGGTACAAGATATTGTCTTGATATTTTATTTTAATTTATTCATTTTTAGGATCGAATCTTGCACCAAACATTATTAACGCAACTCTCATATGACGCATGACCTGCAAACCCATTTGCATTGTTTGAACCTTGAAGTTAAGGAGACTGAGAATATATATATTTTTTTGTTCTACCTTTTTTGGGTTTATTTCACTTATTCTGCTCTTTTCAAACCAAAATCCAAAAGCCATATTTGGATTTGTTTGCTTTTTTTTTTTTCAATTAAAAAAATATAATTGGGTGACCTAGTTATTTCCTGATTGCAAAAACAAAAACTGAAATTTTTGTTCGACAACAAAATATGCGAACAAAATATCTATGTTTAATTACTATAAATAAGCTTATTTAATCTATATTTAATACATCTAAATAATAATTATCCTGATTAAACCTTATTGAAGCCCTAATTAATCTAATTTATAATTATTATAACTAATTGATAATCAAATTCTTATATTAATTAATTCTTTAATCAGTTGAATTAAAATTTATTTAGCTTTTTAATTAACCATCCTTAAATAACCACTAAAATCTTAATAATATCAATTAGTTCTTAATTAATCAGCATAAATTAGTTTTACTAATTAATTGTTAATTAGTTATATGATGTTGTAAGTCTTATATAGATACTAATAAAACATTAATGGTTTCAACTTTCAATTAAAATCCTTAGTTATATAATGTTGTATATCTTAACTAAATACTAATAAAACTTTAATGATCTTAATTAAAATCCTATCTAATTCTTAGTTTCCAATTACTCGAGTTATTTATAAATAAACTAATAATCCCAAACTTAAAATTAATATTAATTAGATATATAATTTCAATTAAAAGTCTTTTTCTTTTCTAAATCCGTTTGTGCCTAGATGGGCTTTACGCCCAAATACCTTGTCTGACTATAACTTTTGAAGGAGAAAACCACTTGAAGACATGCTTAGAATAAGAAAAAAAAAAAATAAAGAGATGAGAACCATTGAACCTCTAAAACATCATCATGGAAAATACCCAGTGAACATCTCTGCTTGCTGCTGGTGCTGTGATGGCCACTCCACATACATGTCCATGATCGCCTGCTCTTCAAAAGAAAGGGGATTTTTTTTTTTGGGGAAAAATAAGGGCATAGCCCATTTTCCATTCCAAAAAAACAACTAGTTACATGTGTGAAAAAGGAAAGGCAACCTATAAAGAACAAAATCAAAAGCTACTGTCTCAAGGAAATACAAAAAAACAGAGGCATTCCCACCAAAAAGAGAGAAGCAATTACGCAGCCAACAATGTGTAAACTAGTTACACGCAAAAACAGCAGAAGAAAAACAACGAATCTGTGAGAGTGAAATAGGGGCTCAGTAGTAAGAATTGCTAAGGGACGAGCCGTCCCCTGGCTGCAACATAGAGCAAAAAACAAGTTAAGTATTGCAGAGATGAGGATGCTGATACGCCCTAGGGTTTCACCAATTCGATTTTGCCCTAGTTTCTCTCAAATGAGCATGAGAGGAACCAAACAAGATCAAAAGCAAAGATTTTCCACAGTAAAATCCCTAGAGTTGTGCACAGGCGGATGAGTGGCTTTACTCTTAGAGATAGGATACAAAATGAGCATATACGTGAAAAGGTTGGAGTAGCTCCAGTGGAAGATAAGATTAGAGAGGGTCGTCTTAGATGGTTTGGCCACATGAAAAGGCGGGGTATTAGATTTGACTTATTTTAAGAAAGGTAGAGGTTGACCTAAAAGACTTGGTTAGAAAATATTGGAAATGATATTTCTTTATTAGATTTAAAGAATTTGACTTTTAAGAGGACACAATGGCGAAAAAGGATTAATGTAGCCGACCCCACGTAGTGGGACAAAGGCTTGATGTTGTTGTTGTTGATATATAATTAGATCATTTGTCTAATTAATCGAAACATTAACTTGGGCTTAATTCCAAAATCTATGAAATTAAACAATCCATTTTGTTTCCCAATATAAGAAATTAAAACAGATTTGTCAAACATGTTTTTTATTTCAATTAATTTTTATTATTCTTTTCTTTTAAATATTTGTTTAAAAACAAAACAGAAAAAAGGAAATGGAATTGAATTTAACGATGGCGCAAGTCTTTGAAGTTATTCATTTTTTTCAATCGTGATGCCTATGTCCTTTTGAAACCAAAAGAGAAGTGTTTCTCTCTTTTTTGTTGTACAGATTTCATAGTTTGGTTTGGCCGTGCATATTTTTGGTATATTACTGTATACTTGACTGGTAGTGAAGTTTTATGAAGTATGATTTATATTCCAAATTGGTGCATATTTCTAGAAGATACAGGCAGGCATCTCATATGCATTTTTTCTGTTTGAACATTTTTTAGCACATACTTGAAAGTTATTTGTTGAGAAGAGCACAACGCAGCGGTACCTTTCAGCACATTAGAAATTGGAATATCCAATTTAATCTGTATTGCACATTTGACCTCATCTTTCCTTAGTTTCATCTGTTTATTTCTTCGAATTAGTTTTAATGAAGCTATCGTTTATTTTGCATATAGAGGCCGTGTATCTTTTTTGCAGTGTAGCATAATCACTCATATCTGCTGTCATCTTTTAGTAATTAATGCTAATTCTGAGTTTAAGGTATCTTCTGAAGTAAGTTTGTTAAATGGTCACAATTTCAGTTTCGATCACTATCCGATCAATTCTATCGTTCTACCGAACATCACAACTTTGTAAGACAGCAAGTTGTCGACCAGGTTGGTTGATTTAGTAGTCTTGTTTTCCCATTCATCGCTGTAATTTTCCTTATTTCCTGCTTTCACTACCTTGTAGGTTTATGTTGCATATAAACTCTAAATTTGAGCAATTTGCAGCTTAAGTCCCACCCTGATATATATGAAGGATATGTTCCCATGGCTTATGAAGAATATTTAAGAAAGATGTCCAAGTATGGTCTGTTCCTCATTACAACTCTTTTGCAGAAAATTATCATTTTCATCATCAAACTATCCCAACTTTTGTGGTTGGCTTTATTAATCCTCCTCAATTCATTCTTGTGGCCAATTATAATATAGTTTTCATGTTCTTTTTTCCCCATCAACAAAGCAGAAGTGGAGAATGGGGTGACCATGTGACCTTGCAAGCTGCTGCAGATTCGGTATGTGTAGGCCTGTAATAGTCTTCTATTTTAGTATTATTTGATTTACTGTCTGTCATTTAGATCACTTAAATTTCTTTCTTGCACACATTGGATTTTCAATTCTGTTATGAGGCGCATCCACGTTCATGAAATTGATTATTGGACTTTTGAAATTATAGGTTTCTCAACCTAGTGATTTTTGGGTTTATCTTCTCACGGCTTTCTGCAGATTTTGAAAAGGAGAATTATTTTACTGTTAGAATCACAATATCAGGTTCATCATTTGTTCTTAATTTACTAACCCAACTAATTTAATAAGCCATTTCGGACTTCCATTTCAGTTGGTGGCTGACTTTGGTTCTTTTCCCCTCGAATGGTGGTTGTGAGGGAGGTCTTGTTGTGGTTAGGTTGTGCGTTGTTGTAAACAAATTCTTCCTCTTTTAACATCTGCCGTTGAAAAAAAAAAATTTATGGGGTTGATGGCATATGTTGTTGAATATGCACGGGAACAGGATAGGGTATTAAACATATCATACCTGAACGAGTTTAATGGGATGGATATGAAACTGGATACAAAACTTTACTATTGGTGGTTAAAGCGAGCAGGAATACTGATAAAAAAATGTTAAATGTAAACCTGACATAAATGTCTTTTTTTTTTAAATTTCTGACCAAGAAAATTGGATAATTTGATGGGATTTATTAAAGAAAATAAAATATAGCTTCATATTTAAAGAAAATAAAAGATCATTGGATCAAATTTGGCTGTGAGCTAATATGGCAGTTTCATGGATATCTGGTTGGTTTTATACATCAATCTAGCAAATTGAAGTTAGTTTCCTAACTCGTATATATCATTGCATAAAATTAATATTAAGTTTTCTTGTAATGATGAATTGATGATCAACTCAACTATTAGGTTCATCATGTTATTATTTATGTATTGTATGTCAATTGTCATTGATGTTCAATTGACAAATTTTGGGTTGTAAATTAACAATGATCTTCTGCAGTATGGTGTCAAGATATTTGTCCTAACATCATTCAAGGACACCTGCTACATTGAGATCATGCCTATTGATCAGAAGTCTAAACGAGGTGTGTCTGAAAGTCTCTTCTTTTTTCTTTTTTTGAAATTTTTTTCTTGTTCATTACTCTATTTAAGAAAGTAGTCAGCGATGTAAAGTTTTAGTATTAAGACAGAAAAATAAGCTGAACAGTTCTTTTCCATACAAGTTGATATTAAAACAGTTGCTGGGAACTCACAATTTCCATTGCAATCTATTATTGCAGAGTTATTTTTCCATTCTTCATATTGCAAATGACTTCAACTTTGTTGAGATCATGCTTCATCCTTCTCAATAATCATTAAGTCATTAACTAGTAGGTTTTCATGATTCATCTGACACAATGAACAAAATAAGGTTCATCACTGCCCCAAACAATAAATGTACGTATACCTTTAAGTTTACTGCTAAAGCTAATACTAGGTTTATCCCTGCTATAGATACTGTTAGGATAGAGTGAGATGCTTATGCACAATTCAGTCTTAATGCACCTGAGTAGAGATACAGATTAACAAGAGGGATATGTGTGCTGTTTCTGTTGTTATAATTATATCTATATTTTTTGTCCTGAGAAGTTATGATGTATACATCTATTTATCCAGCATCTATCTTTAGAATTATTTGATTCAAACTAGTACAAAGTAATCCAAGTTCCTGCAAAAAAATGCAGTCAAATTGATTGTACAAAGTGCAGGGCCAAGAAGTGTCTTGATGTAATATACATGTATTAACTATTTTACATCAAACTAAAGACTGAAAAAAAAATTTAATTATGCCTTTATCCCTTTTACTTTCCATTCACTGCAGCGAACTAAAATACCCTTGGATTTAGTTGTCTGTAAATGAAAAATATGTTATAGAAAACATTGCTTTCACATTCTATCTTTTATATGTGAACATGAAATAATTATATTTGAGAGATTTAAAAGTTTTTTGTAGAGTTTAAAATCAATATTTATTTTTAAATTTATCCAACTTAATGATGTGGAATCTAATAAATTCATTGTTTTACAAACATGCTTTCCAACTTAAAAGTAACTAAATTCGCCCTTACATGCAAGCAAAAACAAACTAACAACCTGTGCTTCTGAAAACATGAAATTTTTCTGGCACATACTAATATCATGACACTGATTGATCTGTGCCCAAGCTTTTTAATCCTGTTTTTATTTAATCATTCTCATGTCTTCCTTCGCTCATGAGCTTATTGAATTATTCCAACTCTAAATGTCAAATGCAATGCTTTCTTCATACAGTTATTTTCTTGAGTTTCTGGGCTGAGGTGCACTACAACTCGATTTATCCTGAAGGAGGTAACTTGTCAACTCTATTGCCTAATTTTTTATTTTCTCTAACTTAGCTACTCCGAGGAACTGAACAAAAATTTAGGCTTCGTTTGGGATGGTTTTTTTATTATTTTTTGAAGCAACTTTCTAGCAAAAAAATTAATTTTTTTTTGTAAAAAAAGCTACTTTAAAAAACAGTAATAAAGTCATCCCAAATGAAGTCTTAGTCTCTCTAATTTAGGGTCTATTCACAGCAGCTATAGCCATCTATAAAAATAGTTGTAGGACTGTGAAGATAAAAACAAGTTCTTAAAAACTACTTTTGGTATTGTAAAATAGCTTTTTTTATAGTTATCACACTCTAAGAGATGTTGTGATAGTAAAACGTTCTGAAAAACAATAAAAAATTTATTGTTAAATATATTGCAACAACATTCCAAAATTAAAACAGCTAAAAAGTTTCCCCAATCAATCCTCCCCTACTCCTTGGCAGGGGAAATAAGTTTTCACCCACCGTTGTTCGTCCGGGTGGTGAAGAGCCGGCTGAACAAAGACTAGGTCCCTGGTTCGAATCCCTTAGCAAGTAGTGAAAGTCTTAAGTGTGACCCGTGTAAATTGGTGTGGGTTGCATGCTAGGTTGACCGGGGTTTTCATTGACCTAAAGACAGTGCTTCATCGTCACAAAAAAAAAAAGTTTCCAGCTTAATAATTTCTTTCTTACATCTTATTTATCAGAGTTACCTGCTCCTGAAACCAAGAGGAAGAAAGGTTGGTGGCATTTTGGACACAAGCATTAAGGGGATTTACCTGCTAACTCTTTCTGAGTTATTTCAATCTTCTTCCAAGATTAACAATTTCAAAGCAGATTTTATACAAACTGTTCACTTATTTTGACTCTCTCAGATCCTTCTCTGTAGAACTGGTGAGCTCCAGGCTGCGGTCTATTGGGAAGTGTTTCATAGTGATCTTTTCTTCAATCTCACACAGTCTTGTATATAACTCTGTATATATTTTCTTATAGCAACTCTTCATCTTCCTTTGAATTTTTTTTTTTCAGAAGCATGGCCTCTATTATTGGCCTGTTTCGTTTGTTTTACAATTTTCTTCTTTGGTAATTGAAATTTATTTGAATTGCTTCTATCTCCTTTTATTTTAGAGAAGTTACAGAAAATAGTCTTATCTTAGGTTTCGTTTGGGACGGCTTTCTTACTGTTTTTTAAAGCAGTTTTTTTTTATTATAAAAATTTTAATTTTTAAATTAAAAGTCATTTTAAAAAGCAATAAAAAAATTGTCTCAAATGAAGTCTTAGACCTGATTAGGAAAGTTCAATATATTCGATTACAAATCATATTATAGAAGAGCTTGATTTTTCGTTTTATATATTTCAGAAGTATTAAACATAAATATTGCTTTATTTTGAGAAGAAAATTATATTTTATTGCTTATATTATATTGGTGTGCTTAAATACAAATTTATGCCTTTGGAAACCTGCAATCTTTTTATTTTACTGCTCTCATCAATAGTAAAAAGAAAAATTAGGTCAGAATATTCCCAATAAATTTTTAGGGTTGAGCTTAATTTGTTTTTTTTTTTAAATCATTTTGAGATGAATGTAATACATATTATTTGAATATTATTTTAAAATTTAGAGCAGAATGTTCTGCAATAATTTAAAAAAAAATTTTGTATGAGGTAGAGCTATTATATTATTTTTAAAATATGTGCATATTTTAAAGTGTAAATTTTATTTTTTATATTTATCAAGGTAAACATGTACTTTGAAATTTATTTATTTTATTGAATTTAATAACAAAATAGGTTAAATCTTTATTTATTTAAGATATTTGAGTCAATTTTTATTTAATTTTTAGCCATACAATTTACGTAATATTTATGCTTATTTTATTTTAATCATATTTATTTCTATTTATCTCCCTTTATTTGATTTAGGGAATTTGATTATTGTAAATTTAAATATAATTTAATCAAACATCATATCATTTTTTTTTTCAAAATCATATTAAGATTTTATTTGGGACAACTTTTTTACTGATCTTTAAAACAATTTTTTAATATTAAAATTTTTAGTTCAAAAAAGTTATACATTAAAATTTAATTTTCAAAGCAATAGTTTCATTTATGATGACTTTCTTATTACTTCTTAAAACGGTTTCTAATAAAAAATAAAATTTTTAATTAAAAATTATTTTAAAAAACAGTAAAAAAGCTATTTCTACCGAGCTTAAGTGAATAACCATGCACCAGCAGCTGCTCATTGAAATTGTAAAGGATAATGTGAATCAACTAATATATGACTAATCAAACATCAATTGCTTACCCCATGCCTGCAAATAAAGCCAAGAAGGAGAACTGCTTTGAGTAAATTGAAAATGATACAGGCTTCATTTGAGATGACTTTCTTATTGTTTTTTAAAACAACTTTTTAATACAAAAATTAAATTTTTATATTAAAAAACTGCTTTAAAAACAGTAAAAAAATCATCTCTAACGAAGCCATAATAATTTGCTTATTTGAGTTTCTTTGTAAGACCAACTAAACTAGATTTGATAGCTGTGCTGTGGTTCTCTCTTATCAGTTCTACATCTCATATTCACAGTCCAGGCTTTAGCTCAACCACAACAGTCAAGAATAGTCACATAAAGCAATCACATCCTCTCATTCTTATTAATCAAATCTTAAGACAAATACTAAGTTAAATTTTACACCTACTACATAACATAACAGATGAAATGTCATCTACATAAACTTTACTCATTGAGTTTCTTAAAGATTAATACAATATACGATTACTCGATCAAAAACTAATGATTATCAAATTCTTCGACTAAAGCCTCATTTTGAACAGCTTTCTTATTGCTTTCTAAATCAGCTTTTTGATACACAAATTTTTAGTTTATGAAATTATTGTACTAAAAAGCTGTTTTAGAAAGTAATAAGAAAACCGTCTCAAACGAAGCCTAAATTTAAATAAGATATTCTGATTGGATTTACTTTCATATTTTGCTCCTCAGTGTAGGGAGAAATAAAGGGGTCTTCTTCAAGACCCAACTGGTCTCCAGTTATTGACCCAGTTTGTTAAGGTGGCCACATTGCTGCTGATGTCTTCAACGCAGTTGCTTTGTAAGGGGATGACAATATCAGCAGCATAGCTTGATCTCGCCTCCTCTAAGAGAACCTGAAAGATCTCGCACTCCATGTTATTTGTAAGCTTTGCTCCCATGTATCCCCTGCATCATTTTACTGCCACTCAGAATCACCAGAAAGCAAGAAAGAAAAAAAAAATAAACAGGCATGTTATTGAGTAATGCTTTAGAAAAATATATTTTTGATGCTGAAGATTTTGTTTTCATTTATTTTGTATGAGAAAACAAAAATATTTAAGTTTAGGGGCTTAAAGCTCATTTTGATTTTTATTACATTCAAATGATGGAATGATGTCGGATATTGGAAAAATTATTCTGTGCGGAGTCCGGACGGCGAGAACCGTTCTCGCCGTCCGAATTTGCTGCGTATTTACTGTGTATTTGCAAATGCTCAGTAAATACTTAGCAAATACTCTGATACTAGTATTATTGAGAATGTTGTGAGCATTTGCTGAGTATTTGTTGATTTACTGCATATTTACTGAGTATTTACAAATACTCAGTAAATACGGAGCAATCAGGACAATTCTTCCCGTCTGGATTCCGCACAGAATAATTTCTCCTGATATTGAGATGATTTTGAGAGAGTTTCCAAGTCAGTATTAGGGCTAAAAAATTAAGCCAAGTCGAGATATAATTATTTTTCACAATTGATAAAATTTAGCAAATTTGATCATTTCCTAAAATATGCTTTCAATCTACAAGAAACCAAACAACTTCCAAAATGCTACAATTATATAGTAAATAAGTGGGTTGCTTATAGTTTTGTTACCTGCTAGACAAGCGATCATACAGGACAGAATTATCAGTCTGCAGGACGACAACACGATCAAACCAATGCTCAGGAAAGAAATCGCAGCCATGATAATCAACAATGTTCCCTCCATCTTCCATCATGTCTTCAATCTCGTCACATAACTACAACAAAAATAAGCGGCGTATCAATCAAGGATTATATATATACAATCGAGATACTAAGGCTTCGTTTGGGACGGCTTTCTTCCTGCTTCTTAAAGCAATTTTTTTCTTAAAAAATTTTAATATTTGTACTAAAAAGCTGCTTTAAGCAGCAATAAGAAAGTCGTCCTAAATGAAGCATAAAGCTTCATTTGGGACGGCTTTCTTACTACTTCTTAAAGCATCTTTTTAAAACAAAAAGTTTAATATCTATACTAGAAAGCTGCTTTAAGTAGCAGTAAGAAATCCGTCCTAAACAAAGCCTAAATTGAAGCAGCGTGATAATCGAGAACTAAATTGACAACACACGATAGGGTATACAACAACAATAACAACAAGCCATTATCCCACAATGAAAGAGTATATATATATATATACTCAAACTATTTGATGTTTTGGGCATTAAACATTCAATTTGGGCCTCCAAACCAAGCATTAATAATAATTGATGCACTCTTATTTAAAAAAAAAAAATTTTTGATTCTGCCATAGGCGATCAACTCTTTCAGTTGAGCAGAGCGTCGCCAAATTCAAAAAATCCTAAATAAGGCGGTGCTTGAAATCGATTTATTTTGTATCAGGTCAAAATAAACATGTAATGTATGAGCTCTCAGTCAAAAGGAAGAAAGTTCCTGCGTAGTACATTTTAAAATTTTGAAAAAGAGAGGAGCTATTCAGGTTATTATCAAGATCAAGCTTATTGAAGTAAGAAGCAAAGAACTGATTTTGCTCACAGAATAATGGGAGAAAGTACCAGCTCCAGACATGAAGGGAACAGAAGAATTAGAAGCTGCTCTGCAGAAGTAATAGGCACTTATGGATAGAGAAGTTAACGATACACTCTCAGGTAATTCGAACCCAGGCAAAAAATCAGCTTGAAGAGATTTGATCAAATCTCATGCCGAGCAAAATATAGTTATAGGCTGGTTTTGTGCAATCTGTATTCAAGTCTTCATTTCAGACTTGGATTGTTAACTTCAAGTTCAACATAGATAGAAACATCCGCTAAACTATGCATTTAAAACCCTGTCAGGTTGAAAAGCCCTATTCATGGCTCCCCTAGAGGTTGAAAAGAACTGGATACTCAGTTGGATTAAAGAGATTCAAGGGAAGCAGCAAAAGAAGATTGTTGGAGGAGGCTAGGACAGAGCCTCTTCTGTCAGCCTGAAGAGCAAACATAGCTATAGGCTCGTTTTATGCTATCTTGATTCAACGCCTCATGTCACACATGCTTATTAACTTAGAACGGCACTTAATTTGAGCCAACACAGATCTGATTCCAATAATTTTTGAATCACTTAGGACAAATTCTAAGTTCAACATAGATACAAACATACAATAAACTATGCATTTAAAGCCCTTTCAGGTTGAAAACCCTGTTAATGCCTCCTCATGAAATTCAAAAGAACTAGGTACTCAATTGGATTAAAGAGATTGAAGGAGAGCAACAGAAGAAGATTGGTAGAGTCATCAGGAAGATAAGAAGAAGATTGTTTCCCTCCTGCTATAGCGAAGATAAAGCCATCACTAGATTTAAAAAGAACTCAAGTCATATGTTAAAAAGCCATTTAGGCTCAGCCAAAGGTTGATAAAGTGTAAGGGCATCTTGAAGAGATACTTGCTCCCTAAAGTCCTCAACTTTGAGCTTACAAGATGAACAAACTCTGGACGAGGAGGAAGGTGATCAAGAAGTGTAATTCCATATTTGATAATATATTTCTTTAATTAGTTTCTTATTCCTACTTATAGCATTTTTCCCTAAGGAAATAGAAACTGCTATGTTCCTGAATAAATAGGCAAGTCAGGCTTATAATACCTCTTTAGCACATAAAATCTTAAGCAAAAAGTTGATTTACTTGTAGATCAGGAAATAAGGACGTTTTGGGTCAATAGAACAAGCCTCTCGACCCTGACAGAGAAAAAAAAAACACTTCTGTTTATAGAATTCACAAAATTGCTCGCCATAATTGCCATTCGGACACGCAGGCTTTAATAGAAAATATAGCCTCTTCAACTTCTAGATTTTTTATAATCATCGACTTACCTGTATGGAAGGTCGAGTTAGCTATAGGTAAGAATCAAAGGATTGCCTAGACCTCAATTGAATTGGTTGCTCATGCCTTAGAGATCATATCGTCTTTAGTTCTTGAAATCCAGAAATTTGTTGACTTACCCAATGGTAAGGAAATAATGAAATGCTTGTGTCTGAACAAGATGAGTCACTCATTCCTAGAAAGAGTAGCCTTGTTAGCTTTTAAGAATTAAAATCCATTGATTTACCTATTAGTAAGAAAATAAGGATTGTTCTGGTCTTAATAGGATCGGATTCTCAGCCCATAGAGAGCCAATAGCCACTTCGGCTTTTAGAATATAAAAAAGTTGTTGAATTACTAGTAGGCCGAAAAAATAGGACCACACTGATCTTAAATAATCTAACCTCCTAGGCCTTAAATGAGTTGATCAACAAGGGCTTTGGTAAGAATAGCCTCTTTGAATTTTGGAATTAAAAAAAAAAAGTTAGGTAATGTATAAGGACTACTCTAGTCCTAAATAAGTTGGGCCACACAAGCCTAAGAAAAAAATATCCTCTTTGGCTTTAAGAGAAAAAAAAAATTTTGACTTACACGTAATTGAGTAAATAAGGTACACTTAAGCCTTACAAAGAAGACCCTCCTCAAAGCATAAAGCTCCATTGGCTTTGAGGAGGCAGTGAATTCCACTCCCACACTTTGAAAATTTGACAGGTCGACTCTCATGCTTTCACACTTGTCCTACCATTTGGGCAAAGGAGTACAACCCACTACTCCACTTGAATTGGCCAATATTTCTCCAAAATTTTAAGAGGCAAAAGTGATTCGCAACCTATTGTGTAAGTTAAAATATCAACTCGGGGACAAGAGATGCTCTTGCACTCTAGAGAGGGGGTGATTAGCTCCTATGCCAGGCGAGAGGAAGATGTTGGACATTTCCCACCACTTTTACTAGTTAGAATATATTTGACAATTGGCTCGAACTCTAAGTGTGATAAAGATTTCAACAATTAGCTCCCACTCTTGGTGGGAGGAAGACATTCAACTTCAATACTTTGGGAATAATGTTAGGCTACTATAATTCTTATGGGGAGGAGTTGCCCTTACAAGGAGAGGCTGGCTAACGTGCATGTGTGTCTATGCTATTTCGTCAGAGTTGACTAAATTTATTTCAAATTAACAAAAAGTTCATATGGTCCCTCAGAATATAGAATAAGTATTTAATTTGTCATTGATGAGTTAGCTTCCATGTTTTAGCACTTAACCCACTCCTGAGCAAAGGAATACAACAAACTTTTGCACTTGAAATGGCCAATCTTTCCCTAAAACTATGGAAGGAAAAAATTATTCTCACGCTAATGGGGAAATTACATATTGACTCTCACACTCAAGGAGAGAAGAGATCTTGACTCCTACACTGAGTGAAGTTGGTGGTTAGCTCCTATTCTAGGTCAGAGGAAGATCAGTTTTACACCATTTTTGTTAGTTAGAAGATATTCAATAATTGGCTCCCTCTTTTGTTTGACAAAATGATTAATTACCCAACTACAAAACTCCCTTATCCTTCTCAATCTAGCAAAAATCAAAACTTCCTTTTTAAGTCTAAATATGTCATATTTCTATGAACAATTCTACAAATCTAATTTCTTTTTAACTAATTATATTAGCCCAATAGCTCAAAACAGCTTCTCTGTCATCAATTAACCAAGCAGACCAAACTAACTCCAAACCCCACATTTATAAAGATTCATGGTGAATAATCCTTCACTACAACAACCTAATTAGTAGCAATTACAGCCCGATAAAAAAAAAAAAAACTACTAATGTGCACGAGAGGTTGCAGGCGACTACTGACTACCATTTATAACCTTGCAAAGTACATAGTGAAGATAAAAAATATGGAATTAGGAAATAGGCAGCAGACCAGTTCCTCGTTCATAATCTGACACTCGAACACTTCGTCCCATCCATCATGGAGGTTCTTGGTCTTTACAAGATCGCCGACGTTGATGTGCCGGAGCTGCGTAGCGTCAGCAAGAAGCGAGCAAGTCGTCGTCTTTCCCGTACCCGGCGTACCTGTCACCAGAATGTTCGGCCTCATCCTACCGCCACCCGCCATCGAAGAGAAAACGAATCCGCCGGCGAGGCTGAGCCGGGAAGGGGAATCTATGCGCTTTCTTTTCTAGATTAGGGCTGAAGAAATAGATTCCGCACATGCAAGGATTTGGACGGTTGTGATTTTACCAATGGGCCTATTCCTCTATCAATGTATCTAAAGAAATATAAATTATTTTTTGGGGGAATTATATACATAAAACCTAAAATATTAAAATTTATATAGCATCTAAATTTTATTATTTACATCATTTAATGGTTTGTTAGCCAATTTCTTGTCGAACGTCATCATTGTTGGGCCATTTTGTATCTCCTCTAAACGAGCTCATCAATGATTTCGAGCGCCCACAAGACTTTTTTGTTTTTTCCATAATATTTGAGCCCAAGTTCTTATCGAATGTCAATCGAATTTCATCATCATTGAGCTCGTTGATGTTTTCTCCCAGTAAGCTCATGCACAACTCGAGCTCCCACCAGAGCCTTACATTGGATACTCATACCCACACCCACCCACGTACCCTCCCATACCCAATGGGCATGGGTGAGTATGGGTACGCCCATGGCCTCGTGGGTGAGTATGGGTGGGTACTCAACATCAAGGGACAAATCGATTTACATTATTAATCACCATATGCATGCAATATATTATAGTAATCCTTACTACGCAGTGTGCAACACTGAACCACATCGCGATCACGATAAATTTTGATGTGGCTTAAAAGTTTGCAGCCAGAGAAAAATGAAAAAAATCTCAAGGCCATTAATCCGTGGCAGACTGCATTCAAGAAGCGTAGAAAATGGGTGGGTGTGGGTAGGTATGACATCCCGAAAGTCACCATAAGTGGGCATGGGTGGGCAAATCCTGCCAGCGCAGAGCGTGGGTATCCAATGGGTACCCAACCAGGACCCCATGTAAGGCTCTGGCTCCCACACAACTTCTTTGGTTCCTCTACATATTGTCTTGTCGTGACGATGCCCTCATTACGAGCTCCTGCGAGATTTCCTCGGTTCTTTATTACCTAACATTTTAGGAAATTTTTAAGAAGTGGAAGAGAGGGAGAGTAGGCAGAGAGACAGAGAGTTGAGAGTAGGGAGGGAGCGTGAGGGCTACCAGTATCGTGTAAAGGGCAACAAGACTAATGGCGATAAAGGGTACGTGATGGGACCAACTTGATAGTGATGAGAATTATAATGAGGGAGAAATTATTCTATGCGGAGTCACGATGGGAAGAACCGTCTAGATTACTGTGCATTTACTGAGTATTTGCTAAGTATTTATAAATACTCAACAAAAATTCAATAAATATAAAGTAAATCAGAAAATACCCAACGAATACTCACAAAATTCTCAACAAATACTTACAAAATACTCAGTAATACTCACAATTGAGTATTTGCTGAGTATTTATTGAGTATTTTCAACTTCGCAGCAAATACTCAGTAAATACATAGCAAATCTTGATAGTTCCCCCATTTCGAACTCCGCACGTAATAATCTCTCATAATGAGGGGTGTTGTTTTCTATTTAATTTTGATATTTTAACTACAATGCATGTAAATTAATGTTGTGCCTGTGTTAAATATGTAAAGCTATACTACTATATAAGTGTGGCTATGGAATCCACCCATAACAAATTTGGATCGTCCATCTATAAATTTTAAATAAATCTATAACGTTCATATATAACTCTTCAAATTCTAATATTTATCATTTCCTATAAAATATTTATTTATTTACTGTCATTATTATTCATTTATTTATGATTCCTTTGATTGTTTTCCTTCACTTAGAGCTCTTCATATTCTTAATGCTTTTAATTTTACATCCAAACATTTCTCAAGAAAGCAAGCATTTCTATATCACACCCGGCCATTCGGCTTCAAATTCCTGCACGGTTACAATAACCCTAGCCTAAACACTCTGTTCAATCCGTTGCAAATTCCTCATTTTGGACTCTTCGGCTTGCCCTCTCTTTCTCCTCGCAGTCTTCTTCTCCGGCAGGTTTCTTCTCCTATTAATTTCTATAACTTTAGTGACATTCCTTCTTATAAGCATCTAGGTCTCTCGCAAATCACCTTCCATCTTCATCATTAGTTTGGAGAGAGAAGAGCAAGGTGAAACCCATCTAAGATTCTTCTGGCGATGGCAAAGAGGTAAGAGGAAACGTTGATTTAAAAGATTGTGGGGAACGTACATTGCAGCGATTCTTTCTCCGATTTGCTCCATAACAACCGAAGCCATCAGAATCGTCCCTCAAGGCCAAAATCTATGGCATTTTTGGCAAGGAAAGGTAGTCCATGAAGTCCTCGGTGGCGGAAAGCATAAGGATCCTTCCCCGTTTGCTTTATATCATTTATTTTGAGGTTTTTTTTACCTGAACTAAATTTTAGTGATGCTGATCTTTTTCATTGAAAAAATAAAGCAATGGTTTTGAGTTTATTTCTATTTCCATTAGCATAGGTATTTTTGCGAGTTTACCGTATAGTAAAAGTTGGAGCTTTTTAAATTGAAATCCCTGCTTCGTGTTGTGATTGCCAAATGACTGTTGTGTTTGTTTGGAACTGTGTTATATTTTGTTATATCTAAACTCATGTAATCAAGTGGTTATTTCTTGCATAGTAACTATGGCTCTGCATCTATGTTGCACCGATACACCTATTTATGAAGGCGTGCTGTATCCGATACACAAATACACGGATATGCCTCCGATACTCCACCGATACGTGTCGGATACGCCAAAGCCGTATCCAATTAAAATACTATTTAATTTCAAAAGGACAACCGTATCCGATACGCGTGTCCGTTGAAAAACAAAAAGAATTAAAAAAAAGACGTGTCGTTTTTACTTCCGCGGTTGCGAGCAAGATTCTCTCCTTTTTCGAGATGGATTTGAGTCTCTTGATGATATAAAAATATTAAAATTTACTAATCTTTCACTTGTTGAGCCTGAATTAGAAGCTATGATATTTATTGAAGATGATATAGAAGTTCAAAGACAAACCAATGAAGAAGATAATTATATAATTCTATATAACCCTAGCCTAAACACTCTGTTCAATCCGTTGCAAATTCCTCATTTTGGACTCTTCGGCTTGCCCTCTCTTTCTCCTCTCAGTCTTCTTCTCCGGCAGGTTTCTTCTCCAATTAATTTCTACAACTTTAGTGACATTCCTTCTTACAAGCATCTAGGTCTCTCGCAAATCACCTTCCATCTTCATCATTAGTTTGGAGAGAGAAGAGCAAAGTGAAACCCATCTAAGATTCTTCTGGCGATGGCAAAGAGGTAAGAGGAAACGTTGATTTAAAAGATTGTGGGGAACGTACATTGCAGCGATTCTTTCTCCGATTTGCTCCATAACAACCGAAGCCATCAGAATCGTCCCTCAAGGCCAAAATCTACGGCATTTTTGGCAAGGAAAGGTAGTCCATGAAGTCCTTGGTGGCGGAAAGCATAAGGATCCTTCCCCGTTTGCTTTATATCATTTATTTTGAGGGTTTTTTTACCTGAACTAAATTTTAGTGATGTTGATCTTTTTCACTGAAAAAATAAAGCAATGGTTTTGAGTTTATTTCTATTTCCAATAGCATTGGTATTTTTGCGAGTTTACCGTAGAGTAAAAGTTAGATCTTTTTAAATTGAAATCCCTGCTTCCTGTTGTGATTGCCAAATGACTGTTGTGTTTGTTTGGAACTGTGTTATATTTTGTTATATCTAAACTCATGTAATCAAGTGGTTATTTCTTGCATAGTAACTATGGCTCTGCATCTATGTTGCACCGATACACCTATTTATGAAGGCGTGCTGTATCCGATACACAAATACACGGATATGCCTCCGATACTCCACCGATACGTGTCGGATACGCCAAAGCCGTATCCAATTAAAATACTATTTAATTTCAAAAGGACAACCGTATCCGATACGCGTGTCCGTTGAAAAACAAAAAGAATTAAAAAAAAGACGTGTCGTTTTTACTTCCGCGGTTGCGAGCAAGATTCTCTCCTTTTTCGAGATGGATTTGAGTCTCTTGATGATATAAAAATATTAAAATTTACTAATCTTTCACTTGTTGAG